GCCAAAAGATGGGTTTGAGTCGAAGCTCTCCCTCTGCCGCGGCCCCCCTCACACCCGATAGCCGTCACTCGTCACGCTCTGCCAGCATGGCGGCGGGCCTCGGACGAGACGACGACTCCAAGTTTCACCTTCGAGTGGCGCGAACGCACACGGACGGCTCGTCCGACACGGCGGCCTCTTCTTCCACTAGTTTTGCTGCCAACGATATGCGTCCGGGAGCCTATTCGGCCGTCACCGCATCACAAGGCGAATTCTCCATGGAACGTGTGGATTCTCTTCGCAAGGGAGGCGTGGAAGTATTGGGCCGAGAGAGCATCAACTCGGCCGCGGCGGGACATGACGTGAGTATTGACCTGTCGAGCTCTCCATCTTTGTTGGATCTGGAACAAGGAGGAGGGCTGCATTCCACCAACGACCCACCGCTCTTTTCATCCGAGGTGGGAGAGTTGTACGCTCACAATGAACCGAAACCAAGAAATCACAAGATGCGCGTGGTCGCGGCCCTGGCGGTAGCCATTGTCGTGGCGGGCATTCTTGTGGCAGCTACAGTAGGCAGCGTACTTTCTCGTCAGAGTGACGGCAACCAGGAGAATGCCAGCATGGGTGTTGTTGCGGAAGCGGAGATCAAGTTGGAGCAAGTCTTTGTGGACCCAATGGCGGAATTGGCGTCCGAAACGATTGTAGCCATCCAGTTTGGAACGGCTACTGATCCTCGAGTCAAGGCCTTCAAGTGGATCGCAATGGACCCAAATCTGGCAATGTATTCGTCCGCCCAAAGAAGACAACGTTTTGCTCTGGCGTCGTTCTTCTATGCAACGAACGGACCTGCTTGGTTTGACAACGGAGGAGTCTCGAGCAAGTGGCTTGATTATGATGCTCATGAATGCAGTTGGTTCTCTTTGGCTCCTCTTCAGGGCCAACCCGTTTGCAGGACGGCCCCGACATCCGGGCAGATACCTCTGGCCACTCATTATGATTACACATCGCTGGTTCTCTCTGGAAGCGACCTGTGGACTGCTGGATCCAGTGAATTTCCCAATCCGACCCTTCAAGGCATTCTGGTTCCAGAACTAGGAATGTTGACTTCTTTGAACAGGTTGGATCTTGGGGTCCAAAAGCTGCGAGGGACTCTACCAGAGTCCCTTCCTCCCACGTTGACGGAGATTGTCCTCTACGACAATGAGCTCACTGGAACTATCGATCCAGTGCTCTATTCCCGAACTAGTCAGCTATGGCTGAGTTTCAATGCATTTGCGCCCTCCACCATCCCTTCATCGATCGGCCCTGCACTCACAAGCCTGGCACTGACAGAGTCCAACATTGCTGGCTCCATTCCAAAGCAGCTGTTTGCATCATCTGCACGGGGCTTGGAAGAGCTCTATCTGTCAGGAAATTCCTTGAGCGGCTCCATCCCTTCTGAAGTTGGACTTGCCACCAATCTTCGTACACTGGAGCTTCATATCAACCAGCTCTCTTCGTCTCTTCCCAGCGAAATTGGCGATTTGTCCGGCCTGCAGTGGCTATCACTACAGGGCAACAAATTCAGCGGAACGCTTATATCGGAGCTGGGCAAGATGTCTTCCTTGGAATATCTCCATGTATCAAATCTGGTGCACCGGAACAAAGATTTGCAAGGAACGATCCCTCTTGATTGGTTTGCACTGCCGAATCTCAAGTCTTTGGCGCTCTCTTCCACAAAGATATCGGGTAGTGTTCCATCTGAGGTTGGCCTCTTGACTTCGCTCGAGAGCTTGATTTTGGACAACAATGGCAAACTCTCAGCCAGTGTCATCCCCAGCGAGGTCGGGGCTCTGCAGAGGTTGACCGTCTTGGGCATGTCTGACATGAATTTGCACTCTTCCATTCCATCCGAAGTGGGTCTGTTGTCAAAGCTGACTACACTGCGACTTCACGATAATGAACTGACTGGAGGCATCCCCCAGGAACTGGAATCTTTGTCTTTGCTGGAGCTTTTCAAGATTGACGGCAACGCAGGCCTTTTGGGAACTGTTCCTACTGAGTTTTGCGCCATTGACATGCTTGATTTTGGATGCGGTGGGAACGGTTTGTGTGGATGCGATTGTCCCTGCAGCCCTTAGTTAGTACCTTACCCCGCAAAGTGGGGCCAACTACTAGCTAGCTAGAACTTTGTACCAATTCATGCATCTCTATTCCGAAAGTATCTATCTATCTAGCCAGCTAGGCAGCTAATATTGCGCTCACTAAGATTCATGATGGGATGCGAGACTACATGTACATCTATTTAGATTGGTGGATGCCGGGGGTTACGGGGGCGTTGGCTGGAGCGCACCATGGTCTACGTGTACATGGAGCGCATCTATTCAATGCCAAGTGGACCCACAGATAGCCAGCCGGGCCACACGTCAAATTTGTTTGGGAAAGGAAGGTTGAATCATTCGATTAATTAATCATTCCACTTTAGAAGCGATGTTAGGCAGCTTGTTAGGCTTGGCACACACAGCTACAACAACACCAACTCCGGCATAGTCAGTCAGCCAGCGGCAAAAATCTGCCCTCTGGTGAAACCCATCTCCAAAACTAAGTCTTTTCCTCCCCAGCCTCTTTTCTTCGGCAACCTACTATGCCATCCCGCATTGGCCTCCAACGGAAAAGGAGTTGGTCGTGCAGTTTGTAGGAGGCAGGGGGCGGGAGTAAAGTACCGGTACAGGACATATATACGATGTTACACATGTACCGGAACTAATAATACCCATAATGTGGATAAGTAAAAAGTTGTACGGCTGCTAACACTTTTACAAATTCTCTTGAACCGTCTTTTACGAGTAATCAAAAGGTTGATCCGATTATTGCATCTGTATTTCGGAATTGTTTAACACGTATCAATTATACTATTTAAAAAGTAACAAAAGCGAATTTGGACCGAATTTGAGTTTGCAACTTCCAACCGAGGAACAAACTACTAGCTACAGTAGTACTGAATTATTGGATGTGGTAGCTTGGCTTGTGGTACTGTACCATGGTCGTAGAACGTTCAACAAGTAGATTTATTGGCTCAAGGTTCTTGGTAAATACTCGAGTAAAAGGATTAGAGGACTACGACTAGAGTCTCTTGGAAGAACGGTCATGGATGACCAGGGGCATCTTTAGCACCAAACAAACAAGCTTGGTGCTTCCCGGGGAGCTGTTTTGCTTGGTTGTTGGTGGTTGGTTGTCGGCAAGGCAGCAACAACAGGCAACATCAGATAGATAGTCTAGTCTAGATGCCAAAGATCGTCTGCCAATCACCAATCTACGTTGTTCCTAGCAAGCAATGCCTTATACCTTATACTTCATAGGAAATCTACAGTGGCGTGCCAATCCTTCATTCATTCTTTATCGGTTACCATCCACGCCCCAATTTTTTTTGTTTTTGGTGTCAAACACTCTCTAGCTAGCAGCACTGGTACCAGTTCGCCACCAACCATTCGACTTTCTTTACAACAAGACCTTGCGTGTTAGCGTGAGCAACCATAACCTGTCGATAATGCTGAATAATAGAGAAGGGGAACTAGAAGCTCAGAATCTCCTCGGTACCATGAAGCACCAGCAGCAGCGAGGTGAACGCAGGAGCAGTATCGGCCAAAGCTGTCGAGACGACAAGGAGGAGGAGTATCCCCTGGTAGCAGCAGAGGCTCTCGATTCAGATTCCACCAGCCCTTGTAGTGAAGGAGGGTCTCCTCAGAACAAGACAGAGCGAAAACAGCAGTGCTGGCCCCTGTACCAAACTACCAGGAAGTTCCCAGCACTCGTGGTAGAAGAGGAAGGTAGGTGTTTGGACTCAAAGGCCCCGGCATAGCCTCCATGAAGCGGACCAAATTTGTATTTAGAACTTGACAATGCCCAACCTGACTAAGTCTCTTGTTTCCCTGATCTCTCTTTATCTACAGCCGACCTATCCCCAAGAAGAATCCTAGCGACCTCTGTGCGAACATTCTACAAACCAAGGCACAGCATCATGAGTTTGATGATAATCCCCACTCTACTGCTGCTAGTGTTCCTGGCGACTCCCGTGGGCAGTGCCTCGAGCAAACAGCTCGTGGCGGTGGATGAATACGAATGCCATCCGTCGGGAATCACCGAGTTGTCTAGGAATTTCATTCTGACCATTGTGGAAGACGACTTATCCTGGATTCTAGACGACGAAGAGGAAGAACTGGTCAATGACCTGCTGGACGCATTCCGAGATACCTACAATGAACAGAGCTTTCAATCCTGTGATATTCCTCATTTTCGAACCATTCAATCCATTACCATGGATAGCATCCAAGACGATACGGGTAGGGAGCGGATCCATCTTGACCATGACGGTGTCGGCCGAATGCTACAACTGTACCACCTCCTCCGAGCCGCTCTTTCCGAGCCATGTCCTAGCCAACTTTAGTAGTTCTTTGCACCACCAACCAGTACAGCAACAGCAGCCTTGCCAACGACGATACCGCCACAACGACGAGTCCAGTGGCAGCCGACAAGCAACTATCCTCCTCTCCTTCCTGTGTGTGTCCCATCGGAGCAACACCCAATTCCAATCGTCTCTCGCTCAAGGAGTTTCTTCCCATTTTGAACGACGCATGGAGGAATGTCACCGCTCCCTGGAGTGTCACACTGACGGTACAAACCATCACCGAGTTACAAATCATTCCCTGTTCCCAAGAACAACTGAGCTTTACATCCTTTGCCTATGTTAATGTCAATGTGGCCAACAACGCCGTGCCATCTGCAAAGGAAGTCAGAGCACTCGAGGATACCTTTATTCGAACCTACAATCAACTGAGTTTCCTTTCCTGTGACCCCTACTTTCGAACGGTGGTCAGTGCCACTTTGGACCTGGAGTTTGAAGACCGAAAGCCAAAAGGTTCCTCTGCACGATGGTTGCAGCAGCAGGGGTCGAATGGGACCTTTTTCACAAACATGACTGCAACCACCACCAGTCCGTCATCAGCACCGTCCCTAGCTCCCACAGATATTCGGTCTGAGGTGGGGAATGCCGCATTTACTGTGACTGGCCAATGCCGAAATTGTCCTGTTACCGATACTGGTAGCTTCAACCTCTTTGATGATGCCTTTCGTAGGAGGGCAAGAGCGCTGCTAGATGACAGGGGCCAAATCCTATCACCATATCGTTTTGGAGATAGCAAAAGGCAAAAAAGGGATTTGGCTGCTAGAATGAAGGGAAAGCAGTCGTTGCTGGAGTTTGACAGCATGATGCAGGGCAACCGGTGGCTGCAACAGAACGATATCTGCATTTGTCCCACCGAAACTGAAGAGATCACTGAGGAGGCAGAGGAAGCTCCCACCCTCTCGCAGACTGACTTTCTTGACTCCTACAACGTGGAATTGGAGGAGTTACAAGAAGCCGGGGTAGTGGAAGCTGTGGAAGTGGCAGAGAACGTTGAAGAAGGACAAAAAGTGACTGTGGAACTAGTTTGCTGAGCTTCAAATCGGCAGTGTTCTCGGACCTCCGCGTCAATATTACTTCTTTCACCATTGAAGAGGCCAGATCCCTTGAGCGGAGTTTCCAAGATTCCTACAACAGGCTTTCTTATGTGACATGTGATGGTCATTTCAGGAGCGTAGCAAAAGTGGAACTGCAGGTCATCCCAACAGCCAGCACTCCAGTGATTGATCTTGTGGGAGCTGCCCGAAGATTGGAGGATGTCTTGCTAGAAAGAGATCTACAACAGGCTATCATAACAAACAGCTCTAGTGGCTTCAATGGCACCAACAGCACCATGAATTCTACAGGGACAGTAGCACCCCAACGAGCTCAGCAAGAGATCGTCTCCACATTATTCTCTGTCACAGGTACATGCAGAGACTGTCCAGTCACAGACACTGGCACATTCAACCTCTTTGATGATGCTTTCCGAAGGCGAAGAAACCTGGTTGCAAGGAAGAATGGGCATCCGATATCATCATCAATTTACCCAGAATTGTTCAGGAAACTTCAGCAGCAACAGCAACAACAAGTTGGCACCACTGATTCTTGTATTTGCCCTGCTGGGGAAGAGCCGCAGATTGGTTCAGGACCCACAACAGAAAACTTTGAAGTGGCATTCAATGATGAAATCGAAGGCCTGGAGGATGATGGCGAAGCAGAATCAGTGCAGACCACGGCTGGAAATGTCGTGGAAGGACAACCAGTCCTCTGTGATGGAGAACTTGTGCAATTCAAGTCCTTTGTATATGCTGATATCGGTGTAGATCCGTCAACACTTCCGAACAGCACCATTGAGACATTGGAGAAAGTGTTTGAGGAAACCTACAACAGTGTGTCATTTGAGGCATGTGATGAGTTCTTTCAGGGTTGTAGTCCAAGGTGGGTACTGGTGGTCTCCAACAAATATCAGGCCGAAGATTGCAGAAGTGGAAATGAACAGATTCTCGGAAATTCCACAGATTCATCCAACTCGACTAGAAACGAAGGAAGAGTGCTGTTTGAGGTTACTGGGAGATGCAGAAACTGCCCCGTTACTGATACGGGGAGCTTCTCGTTGTTCGATGATGCATTCCGCCGTTCTCTTATGCAAAAAGATGAAATCCCTCTTCTTAAGGCCCGTGATCCCTTTTTGCAATTTCGTGTTCCGTCAAGGGGGGGCAGACACCTTCAGCAGGCTCTTGACGTGTGTTTGTGTCCAATTGGGAAAGATCCAGGAGAAGAGCAGAACACTAGCAGATCGGCTGTCTTTCTCACAGAGTACAACACGGCACTTGTCCAAGCACAAGAGGAACAAGCCAGGCCGCAGAATGATGCTGCTGGTTTGACCATTCCTAAACAGCTGCTCCATTGCACCATACATTATCATTCCTGTCATTGAGATTGAGGAGGTTCTGGAAGATCCCATCAATGCAACCACTCCAGCACCCTCTGTGGTTTCTCCTCCCACAACTATACCAACTGTATCGCCACCATTGGGGCCAACACCCAACGTGGCCACGGTTAGTGTCAATGTCACAGCAGTCCCAAATACACCTCTCCCAACATCGCCACCAACAGACCAACCAACAGAAGAACCAACCCCAGCACCAACCCGGAACAACAGATGAGCAACACCATCACCAACAGAAGAACCAACTGTGGTTCCAACTGTTGCACCAACAGCTGTTCCAACTGGCCAGCCCAGCCAGTTGCTGCTTGGACAAACTACACCCATACCCTCCCTCCAACCAACATCCATGCCAACAGTTGTACCAAGCTCCAGCCCCTCCACATCCCCATCTCCAATGCCCACGTTTGCGCCAACACACATCCCCACTAGCCAGCCATCATTCGATCCAACCCAAACGCCCACAGGCATCCCATCCTTCTCTCCCACTGCCATGCCAACATGCACTGAGCCACTTCAAAACATGGATGCCACGATGATAGTAACACTTACAGGAGACAGTTCTGCCAAAGATAATGTCTACTTTGCCGATGCCTTCTTGAACGCGTCACAGTCAGTCGAATCCACATGTTCGGTGGAAGTGCTGGCTGTCACTGTCCAAAGCAGGACTTCACAACGACGTCGCCTCCAGGGAACAGCTGCGAGTGAGGATTTGGTGTTCCTGGCAAGTGCTGACCTAGTATCCCTGGCTGCATTCTACAGCACTGATTTTGTCGGGCCTCTGTCTGATGCATTCAATGCCATCCTCCAGAATGCCAATATAGTGGCATTGATTCAAGGCTCTTCACTTAGCCCATCATCCTCTCCAAGTTTAACGCCTTCCAATAATCCTTCCGGGTCCCCAAGTGTTATCCCTTCCCTTTCACCCTCCACTGACCCTAGCCCAGTCCCATCACTTGTGCCCAGCACCCAGCCCAGCACCCTGCCCAGTTCCAGTCCTAGCCTCACGCTACCTTCCCAACTGCCATCCTCTGATCCTAGTCAGGCCCCAACATTGCAACCCAGTGTTGGGAGTCAAGCACCAAGCACAGCTCCAAGTGCTCTTCCCAGTGGGAGTCAAGCACCCAGCACAACTCCAAGTGCTCTTCCCAGTGGCAGCATAGCTCCAAGCACAGCTCCAAGTGCTCTTCAAGCGGGAGTGAAGCCCCAAGTACAACTCCAAGTTCCCTCCCAAGCGGGAGTGAAGCCCAAGTCAGCTCCTAGCACCCTTCAAGTGGATTGCCTTCATCTAGCTCCCAACAGCAGTGATCCCAGTTCACCACAACAGCCAGGTTCCAAGCAATCAACCGAGTTCCAATCCCAGCACCTTTCCAGTTTCATTCCCAGCACCCAACCAAGTGCCATCCAAGTTCGCATGCCCTCCTACATTAAGTGCTCAGACCAAGTGGTGTGCCTAGTCACCACCCGGTTCCAAGCAATCACCCGAGTTCCAATCCCAGCACCTTTCCAGTTTCATTCCCAGCACCCAACCAAGTGCACACCAAGTTCTGCCCCGAGTGCTCCTCCTACATTAAGTGCTCAGCCAAGTGGTGTGCCTAGCTCCGGCCCCACCAACAGCCAGGTTCCAAGCAATCACCGAGTTCCAATCCCAATCCAGTTTCATTCCCAGCACCCAACCAAAGTGCTAGCACCCAAGTTCTGCCCCGAGTGCTCCTCCTACATTAAGTGCTCAGCCAAGTGGTGTGCCTAGCTCGGCCCCACCAACAGCCAGGTTCCAAGCAATCACCCGAGTTCCAATCCCAGCACCTTTCCCAGTCATCCCAGCACTTCCCAGTCAATCCCACACCCAACGTGCTACACCAAGTTCATGCCCCGAGTGCTCCTCCTACATTAAGGCTCAGCCAAGTGGTGTGCCTAGTCTCCGGCCCCACCAACAGGCCACAGCGTTGCCAAAATGCAAATCAACCGCGGAGTTCCAACAACCGTAGTCACCAATTCCCATTTCATTCCCAGCACCAACTGCAAGTGCCTACACGCAAGTTCTGCTGGGCGCCGAGTGCTCCTCCTACCATTAAGTGCTCAGCCAATTGTGTGCCTAGTCCGGCCACCAACAGCCAGGTTCCAAGTCAATCACCCAAGAGTTCCAATCCCGCACTTTGCCCGTTCATCTCCCAGTCACCCCAGTAGCTATCACCATTCTGCGGCCCCAATTAGGCTAGCCAAAGTGTGCACCTAGCATCCAAGGCCCCCCACAGAGTTGCCCCAAGTAAGCACTGCTCAGGGGAGTTGTCCTAAGGTCCCTGGGAGTCACAAGAACAGGCAGTTCAAAAGTGTCAAGCAGGCAACCAGTTCCAACTCCTCCAGTCACCCACCAACCAAACCAGTGCACACAAGTTCTGCCCACGAGTTCCATACTATGCTAAGTGCTCAGCCAAGTGGTGTGCCTAGCTTTGGCCCCACGAACAGCCAGGTTCCCAGCTTCTATCCAAGTTTGGGCCCGAGCAAGTCACCTAGTGTCTCACCCAGCAGGGGCCCCAGCACATCACCCAGCACAGGACCTAGTACAGGACCCAGCAATAGCACCCAGTTAACAAGCACCAAAGCAAAGGACCCAGCACAGGACCTAGTACAGGACCCAGTTTGGCACCCAGTACAGGACCCAGCATAGCACCCAGTACAGCACCAAGCACAGGACCCAGTACAGAACCCAGCATAGCACCCAGCACGGGATCCAGTACAGGACCCAGCACAAGACCCAGCACGGCACCAAGCGTAGCATTCAGCACAACACCTGCTAGCATCTTTCCATCCCTGGTATCCTCTGTTACCTTTATTCCATCATCCTCTGGCACCGTTACCGTGAATCCATCATCCTTGGGTACCTTTATTCCATCCTTTTTTCACTCACACACCATAATTCCATCCTTTTCACACTCACACACCATCATTCCATCCTTTTCATCCACTGGTTCTGGAACTGGGTCTGGGTCTGTGCGTAGAGGGCTCCTCTTTGATGAGTACGAGACAGAGCTGCCTACATCAACGCCGTCAAGTGCTGATACTTCATCAAGCTTTGTTCCCTCTGTGAGTGGCGTTCCGTCGTTGTGGAGTGATGCCCCCTCTGTTATTCCCTTCATGGCACAGTCAGAGAGCGGTAATCTTCCCGAGGCGACTCCAATTATATCCAGCAGGGCTGTACTGAAAACTGCCATCAACGACTGGGTGGACAACGGGGAATCAATTTTTGGGCCCATTGGAAGCTGGGATGTGGCTAGAGTCACGGACTTTAGTGGGCTTTTTCAGAAGAAGATTGGATTTGATGATGACATTTCTGCATGGACCACAAAACAGGTCACAGACATGGCTTTCATGTTTGAAGGGGCGTGCCTATTTAATCAAGATCTGAGTTCTTGGGACGTGTCGCGCGTTTCTTCCTTTCTCGGAATGTTTCAAAATGCTGGCAGTTTCAATCAAGACCTTTGTACTGGTTGGAGCACAAAAATCACTGCCACAAAGCAAGAACTTCAAGACATGTTTGATTCCGCCAAGAGTTGCCCCACACAAGCGGACCCCACGCGGCAACGTGGCTATGTGTCTCCTTTGTGCTATGTCTGCCAATCTCCGTTCTTACCTAAGACGCCAGGAATCACCTAATTTGTGGACTCCCTCCCTCAAAATAGATAATCCTTTGTGCAAAGCGCTGTCGGAGTCACACATCCGTGGTCTTTCGCGCAATCTTTGTGCTCTGGTTTTCGCGGGCCATTAAGACCTTGCCGAAGACCACGAGCAAGCAGAAGCAGCCAACAAGAAGGAAGGGGGGGGACAACGGCTTTATAACGAGAATGAAGGGAAGATCCATGACGCCAGAAGCACATCACTCTAATGCGAATGCGTGGGAGAGCGATTCGACTTACTGGCCAGCCAGGAGACGCAGCGACTGTTACGTTTACCCTCCTCGACCTTGATCGTGGACAAGCAGCGGAAAGCAGGATGGAATCAATACCTCGGCTGCCTGGCAGGGCTGTTGGTGCCGTCTGTCGATCGCGGTTCGATCCGACTACTGCACATCTAGATTGGAAGACACGTTTACGAAAACACCGCGACGCTCGAATTGTTCCGTGTGTCCCTAAAAGGGGAGTAGTAGCGGGGAATGGATAAGGCTCGGGAGTAGCTCAAAGCAAAGGCTTCTGTGACAATGAGCAGTTAAGAGAGGGAGCGGGATCGACCTCCTTGGGAATGCTGTTGGGCATGAGTGAGCGAAAAACCTCCAGATGGACGAATCTGGTTCTTGCTTCAAGGCAGCACAGTGCTTCCTTGCTGTGGCTGCCATCGTAATTCCTACTATTCTGGATCGAGCTACTACTAATAATAGGCAATGGCTTCTGACGACTAGTTCCTGTAGAACTAATGATGCAGCGTACGGTTCCTGTGCGGACCAAACTACCGGTAGCTACCGGCAGAGATGGTAAAAAGATAGTAAAGGAGCGATGGGGGGCTAAGCTAGGCAGAGCGGTGGCGGTAGTGGGTAGCACAGGGAGAGCAGGGAGGATGGGGGCAGGGCAAAAGGAGGGTAGGGATGGTCGTTGCTCCGGCTCAAGGACGAAACCAGAGATCCTTTCTCTCTGCAGCCAAACGGTACCAGTGACTCTCGATGCAGCGACACACAGAATGATGAATCCTCCATGCAGCCCGATCGAGGTCGTGTGAAAAAGCTGCACAGTGCGGTTTCCGAATAGATCGGTACAGCGATGAAGCCCGAAATTGAAATCGATTACACCCACTGGTACTGATAGAATAGCTACGACTGTACTGGTAGCAGGCATTCAGAAAGCGAAATTCAAAACCGTGCTTAAAATCTGAATTTCTGTTTGAAGTATTTTCGGACCAAGACCGGTTCTTGTGGTTTCGGCGGGGGAACGGTCATGGCCTATCTATCTGTTGCATCAGATACCCATCGAGTGGTACAGGTACCATTATCGTCTTTTCTAATCATGTCTATTCATGCCGACCCCGCATAACCCCTTGAATGAATAGCTATCGCTACTAGTAGGAGCAACACTTGTAGCAATAGCTCATCAGGGGCATATTCTTTCTTCAGGAAGAAGATCGAGTGCATCACCAACGACGATCGATTGCTCCAAGAGCAACAATTGGAAAGATCTCTCTCATAGGCACAGCTTGGAGTTTCCAAACTCAAATATTAGCATCCCCAACAATCTTTTACGACAGAGAATTCCTTTCATCTGGCGCCTATCTAGCTACCGGTACCGTAGCGAGAGGAGGATTGTGCAGTCGACGCGCAACGGCAAAGATATTGTAAAGGACAACCGGAGAGAGAACCATTTCAAAATGTCAGGAGCAACCCAAGGTAAGATCCACTCAATTGACTGACCTGACCTGACCGACCTTTGCTGATCGAAACAACGAGCCCTGAACCCGCCGATTACGCGATTTGATTCTGGAGTGGAGGAACCACCAAGCGGACGCGGATGTATGTCCATTGGTGCGAACAGAGAATGGTTTGTTTGTTCTCTTTTTTGTTCTGCTCCATTTGCTCGAATCACTCTCGCCTGAAATCTCACACCTTCTCAATTGCCAACCTGCCTTGTTTCCAATTTGTCGCTACTTCCATCCGTCCCAACATCCACTTGTCTACCACCAAACTCGGCAGACTCGATCGGCAACCCGTCCCGCCATCCAGCTAATGAACGACACCACACCCCAACCGTTATGAAACGGATTGACCACGAGACAACGTGCAACATGAGGCACACGATGCCTAAGATTCTGCGCCCACAGAGGAATCCTCGTCTAATGGGAGTATCCACCATCCTAGCTGTTCTCGTCGCAATGATTGGACCGAGTGTGTTGCTGATTCCGATGGGGGCCGAGGCTTCTGGCTTCATCTCCGTAGATGAATATGCCTGTGATATTCCAACCCTCAAGACATTGGAAGGCCGGACATTCCTTTTGACGGTCCGGGAGGACGTGTCATGGATAATGAAAGACGAGGGTCTTCTAGAAGAGTTGGAGGACTCCTTCCTGGACACCTATAATCAGCATAGCTTCTTGTCCTGTGATCTGCCTAACTTTCGTACCCTCCAGTCGGTCCACATTGAAGATGTCTCGGAAGACAGGCAGAAAGGAGGATCCATCATTACCATGACCGCCACGGGTGAGTGTCACAACTGTACCGACAGCCTTCCCTTGTTCCCGTCGCACAATCCAGGCAATGACACGGCAACCATCCATAATTCCACTGCCACTACACCAGGCCTTGCCACGGCGGAAGCAGCGGTCGACATTAATACCGTCGAAATCTTGGCTACGCGACAGATCCTCCCCAGCTCCTGTGTCTGTCCAGCCGGTTCCGAACCTGACCCCAATCTCTTGTCGCTCCCCGAATTTCTTCCGGTGCTGAACGAGAATTGGCTTGTCGTGGCTCCCCAAAAGACCATCACAGCGGCAAGATTGGTGGAACTACAAACGGTGGCATGCGGGGGAGAAGTTAGGAGCTTTACGTCGTTTGCTTATGTCAACGTCAATGTGGCCAAGAATGCTCAACCCACTGCTGCGGAACGACAAGCCTTGGAAGAGTCATTCATCGAAACGTACAACAGGTTGAGCTTTGCCACTTGCGATCCCTACTTTCGGGCCATTAATTCGGCCAAGTTGGAGCTCGAGGTGGATGATGACGACGACGAATCTGCGGGAAACCAGCGCTTCCTGCAGGAGAGTACTGCAGATGGCAACTCCACAATGAATGAGACTTTGCTCCCGAGCAATCAATCGACCTCGGAACCGTCAATGTCACCATCGCAGGCTCCAACAGGAACCCGAGCTGAACGAGGGAATGCTGTCTTTTCTGTGACAGGGCAGTGTAGGAATTGCCCTGTCACCGATACGGGAAGCTTTACCCTCTTTGATGATACCTTTCGGCGTCGACTTCTAGAACAAGGCATGGAGCACATAGCACCATCTTCTGCTACTACAAAGTATGAGCAAGTCAAGGCGATGTTCCAAGACACTAGCATCCTTTCAGTTCTCCAGCGCAGGATGCTGCAAGAAGATCAAGCATGCGTCTGTCCCACAGATGCGGTGGACAGCGCGGGAGACGACGAGGAAACTCCCAGTCCTGCTCTCACCCAAGATGAATTTTTGGAATCCTACAACACAGAACTAGTGGAGCTCCAAGAGGACGGTACTATTGAAGTTGTGGAGTCAGCCCAAGAAGTTGAAGAAGGGCAGAGTGTTGAATGTGGTGCCAGTGTCCAGTACTTCAAGTCTGTGGTGTTTTCCGATCTGAGGGTCAACATAACATCGTTCACAAGACAGGAAGCACGGCGTCTCGAGAACATTTTTCAAGAATCTTACAACAGGCTCGCATATGTCACCTGTGATGGGCTGTTTCGCACAGTGGCCAATGTAGAACTGCAGGTCGCACCAACAGATGGTATCGATGTGGCTGGCCGTCGCTTGGAGGATGTCTTGATGGAGCGTGAACTGCAGAATGGTCTTTCAAGCGGCAACAACACAAATAGCAGCAATGCTACTGGTTCAATCAACGCAACCCTTCCACCTCAGCAAAACCGAAGAACACGAGAGATTGTCCCTACCTTATTTGCCATCACTGGGACATGCCGAGTAAGTGAGATTGCTTTTCTAGTATCAACCAGATGTCTTTTTGCTGCTCACCAGTGTCCCTCTAATCTGAGTAGGACTGCCCGGTCACTGACACAGGAACCTTCAACTTGTTTGATGATGCATTTCGTAGAAGGAGGACTTTGCTGAAAGAAAGGAAATTGGCTCTTGGAGATTGGAACTTCATGAAAAGGAGGAGTTTGCAGGAGAGTCAAGACACGACATGCATATGCCCGGCTGGAGAAGAGCCAATTGTAGGTTCAGGGCCGAGCTCTGAGGAGTTTGAGGTTGATTTGGCTGATGAGATTGCTGTATTGGAAAAGGAAGGAGAAGCAGAATCCGTTCTGAACCCAGCTGAAAACATTGTGGAGGGTCAACCAGTGCTATGCGAGGGAGAAATAAGGCAGTTCAAATCCTTTGTGTGGGCTGATCTTGGCATCGACCCGTCACAGCTACCAAACAGAACCATTCAAACATTGGAGAAAGTGTTCGAAGACACCTACAACAGCTTGTCCTTTGAGGAATGTGATGAGTTCTTCCGTGTAGTATCCAATGTTGGCATTGTTGTGACTGAGAAACTTTCAAGCCGCAGGCTCCAAGGAATGGACACCACAAACACCTCAGCAACCAATGACACATTCTCCAATTCCTCTGGCAACAGCCTAGGACAAACCAGGGTGCTGTTCGAAGTTACTGGAAGGTGTAGGAACTGCCCTGTGACAGATGCAGGCAGCTTTAGATTGTTTGATGATGGATTCAGGAGAGAGCTCCGCGAGACTGATGAATTTCCTATTCAGACGGATAGTCTCACCGCGAGGGCTTATTCCTACAGGGCCTCCAGTCGGCATCTTCAGCAAGCTCTTGATGTCTGCTTGTGTCCCATTGTAACTGGGCAAGTTTCAGAAGAGAATGCGACAAAAGCAGAAGATTTTTTGGGCAGCTTCAACTCCAACCTTGCCAAGGCCCAAGCAGCTGAAGCTGAAACAGGACAGACTGATGGGGGGGGAAGCAACACAACTGAAGCTCCTTTGATACGAATTCCAGTTTTTGTTGTTGAAGAAGTGGCGGACCCTGACAATTTTACGTTGCCAACAGCAGCACCTACTGTAGAAGTGCACCCAGAGAGCACACAAGCACCTATTGTGGCAACACCATCCACCCCAGCTCAAAATGCAACGACCCAGAATGCAACAAAAACTCCTACTGCTAGCCCCGCAAAGTTCCAAAATGCAACGTTGCCGCCTACTCCCAGTCCTACCGAGACCACAAATGCTACTTCTGCTCCTGTCACTGCCAAACCCACAGAAGCTAGCACAACCAGTCGAACAGATTTTTCAACCGCACAACCGACAGATGAGCCAACCGAGGAACCGACAAACGAGCCAACCGAGGAACCCACGGATGAACCAACTCAACAACCAACAGATGATCCAACTCAACAACCAACAGATGAGCCAACGTTAAGTCCCACCTCCACGCCATCTTCCCAACCTAGCTCAGAGCCCACAGCATCTCCCAGCCAATACGTAACTACATCCCCGTCTTCAAATCCATCCAAAGGTCCCTCAGTTCATCCAAGCATGCAGCCTACAGAGGTCACAGAAACCCCACAGCCATCAAAAGGACCCACAATAGCTACTGCTGCACGGACTCCTGCGCCCAGGCCCGATCCAACCTTACAACCGACCAATCCACCCAGTGAGGGGCCAACATCGGATCTACCATCAACCCAACCTTCCCAGCTCCCTTGCAATGGTCCATCCGCAAAGCCATCTCTTGACCCATCTGAAGGACCTACCAGCAGCCCATCTGCCAGCCCTTCCAAGTTCCCCACCCCTAATCCTACAGTGGCACCCACCTCAACAGTTTGCAATGATGAACTTTTGAGTATTACTGCAGGGCTGTCACTTACTGTATCTGGGGAGTCAGCTTCTCAGGATAATGCATACTTTGCCAGTGCTCTAGTATCGGCCAGTCAATCCATGAAATTGACTGGATGCATGCCTCAAATAGTAGCAGCCAGCGTCACTAACAGGGTTGCAACACGCCGTCGACTGCAGGGAGGCACAACTGGTTTGGAAGTGATTGACCTTAGTCTGAGCACTCGACAAGCAACATCTGGAGATATCTACAATTCTGGATACATGGGATCTCTTGTTGATGCAACCAATAGTATTCTCCAGAAAGATGGAATCTCAGTATTGAAGGCACAAGAACCAACAACAAGCCCTTCGATGTCGCCAAGCTCCTCAGCTTTACCCTCAAACCCACCATCGGGTGAGCTCAGCACCTCTATGTTACCTTCCCACGAACCATCTAGGTTGCCAAGTCTCACTCCCAGCAGTAGTCCAACTGGTGCCCCTACAACCAGTCAGGCACCCAGCAACGAACCAAGCCTATTGCCATCACATAGTGCGTCACCCAGCGCCAGTCCTAGCATCAGTGCTGCTCCTACCACTGACAGTTTTATGCCATCAACCAGCAAAGCACCCAGTTCATTGCCAAGTACTTCCCCCAGTACCAGACCTAGTGAGGTACCATCAGTCAGTGTGAGCCCAAGTACCGAGCCATCAACTGAGCCATCATTTGTCCCCAGCGCCAGTCCAAGTAGTCGGCCAACCGGAAGCCCCATACCAAGCAATGCGCCTAGCACAAACCCAAGCACAAGTCAAGCACCAAGTTCATCTCCCACTGCTGATCCAAGCACATCACCATCAGACAGCACCCAACCCAGTAACGTACCCAGTTCTAGCCCCAGCAGGAGCCAGGTGCCCACGACAGACCCAAGTGCTAGCCCCAGCATTATCCCCAGTGCTTCTCCAAGCAACAGTCCAACAGCTAGTGTTCATCCCAGTGGTCTTCCCAGCTTAAGTCCCAGTAATAGCCAAATGCCCAGTGCAGTTCCTACTTCTGAACCAAACAGTTCTCCCAGTTCTTCCCCAAGTGGTCCTCCCACGTCAAGTTCTCATCCCAGTGGATTTCCCAGCTTAAGTGCCACCTCCAGTCAGTTGCCAAGCAGTTCACCAAGTACCAGCCGCAGCAGTTCTCCCAGCTCAACTCCGAGTGAATCACCCACTGGAAGTTCTCAGCCCAGCATGCAGCCCAGCTCAAGCCCAAGTGTTAGCCTGCCACCAAGTGAAAGTCCAAGCACCAACCCAAGCAGCTCTCCCAGTACAATACCAAGTGATTCTCCAACAGCAAGTCTTCATCCAAGCGGTCTTCCAAGTTTCAGCCCCAGCACCAGCCTGAACCCAAGTAGTATCCCCAGTGCCAAACCAAGTAGTCCCCCCAGTACAACCCCAAGTGAACCACCCACAGCAAGTCCTAAACCCAGTGGTCTACCCAGCTTTGGACCAACCTCCAGCCAGGGACCAAGCAGTTTCCCCAGTGTTACCCCAAGCAGTTCTCCTAGCGTGGCACCAAGTTCCTTGCCCAGCAACTTACCAAGCAAGCCGCCAAGTGTAGCACCAAGTTCCTTGCCAAGCGACAGTCCCAGTACCACCCCAAGTTCTATCCCAAGTGATTCTCCGACAGGTAGTACTNNNNCAAGTTTTGGCCCAAGCACAAGCAAGGCGCCCAGTGACAGTCCCAGTTCCAGCCCAAGTGTGTCACCCAGCATAGCACCGAGTTCCTTGCCCAGCAACTTACCCAGCAAATCCCCTAGTGTAGCACCAAGTTCCTTGCCAAGCGACAGTCCCAGTACCACCCCAAGTTCTATCCCAAGTGATTCTCCGACAGGTAGTACTCAACCAAGTGGACTGCCAAGTTTTGGCCCCAGTGCAAGCCAGGCGCCCAGTGACAGTCCAAGTTACAGCCCAAGTGTGTCACCCAGTGCCATTCCAAGTTCCTTTCCTAGCAGATCTCCAAGTGAATCCCCAAGCAAAACACCAACCGGCAGTCCCAGTGGCAGTCCAAGCATGTTTCCCAGTTCTAGTCCAAGTATTGCGATTGACAACAATGCTGAGCTGCAGACAGAAATCGATACTTGGATCAACACTGGAACTTCTCAGTATGGGCACATTTCCACTTGGGATGTTTCCAGGGTGGAAAACTTCTCCAATCTGTTTTCAGGTAAATCGTCCTTCAATGAGGATATCTCAGGATGGAGCACTGGCCAGGTTACGAGAATGAGATACATGTTCAACAATGCAGGCCAGTTTAACCAGAACATCGGTGGTTGGTAAGTTGTTGATGCTGGAATATTGCAAATACACTGATGTTACCATTTCCTTATCAGTTTTCTTCATTGATACACCAGGGATACTTCCAATGTGGAATCTTTCGAGGGCATGTTCTATGGTGCAGCTCAATTTGACCAAGATATTGGGGGTTGGAACACTGCAAAGGCATCAAATCTTGCAGGCATGTTCCAAGGAGCAGCAGGGTTCAATCAAGCATTGAAAGACTGGGATATTGGCCAAGTAACTACTCTTGGAAGTACTTTCTATGAAGCGACTTCCTTCAACGGGGACATTACTTTGTGGGACACTAGAAAGGTCTCAACCTTGCAAAATACCTTCTTTGGTGCTCAGGCCTTCAACTCAAACATTGGTTCCTGGGACACAGGCCTTGTGACAAGTTTGGACAGTACTTTCTATGGTGCCAGTGCCTTCAATGTTGACATTAATGGCTGGAACACTGGTGAAGTGCTCAGTATGAGTCAAACTTTCCGGACAGCCGCTGCCTTCAACCGAGGGCTCAATGGATGGAACACAGCAAAGGTAACTGCCATCAATGGCATGTTCCAACAGGCTGCTGTCTTCGATCAAGACCTGAACAGCTGGGACACAGGAAATGTTGTTCTGATGTGGAACACATTTGGTGGAGCCTCAGCTTTTAACGGAGATATTTCTAGCTGGGATGTCTCAAAGGTCACCACATTCTGGAATATGTTCAACTGGGCCGCAGCCTTCAATTCTGACATCTCTGGTTGGGATACTTCGAGTGCTGAACACATTGGTGATATGTTTCATGTCGCATCAAGTTTCAACATCAACATTGGTAGCTGGGATGTCTCGCGCATTGGATCCCTTGCTAACACCTTTGCAAGGGCATATGCCTTTAACCAGCCGCTGGGAGGCTGGGATGTCAGTGGAGTGACAACATTTCACAGAGCGTAAGTTATTGTGCTAGTTCCAATTCTTTGCGAGTCAAACCATGTGAATCCCTAAGTTGTTTGTTCTTTCACAGGTTCTTTCAAGCCAGTGTCTTCAACCAGGATCTTTGTGCTTGGAATGATCACATCAGCCCCACCGCAGACATGGGTGGTTCTACATTTTTAGGTACTAGCTGTGAATCAAAGGAGACACCACAGCTCTATGGATCTTATTGGGGTCCGTTGTGTTCGATGAGTTGTGTGCCAAGTGAAGCTCCAAGTATCACACCAAGCGGCCAACCCAGCTCTGCACCAAGCTCTCTACCTTCCCAGCAACCAACTGACGAATCCGCCAATCAGAGTGCATCACCCAGTTTGATTGCAAGTGAATCCCCAAGCACCAAACCAAGCGAGAGCCCAAGTATTCAACCCTCTTCTGCCCCTAGTGTGAATCCAAGTAGTTTGCCGAGTGAATCACCAAGCGCTCCAACTGGTGTACCTTGTCTCCCAGACAGAACATCCGTTGATGCTGCCCTCCTTGATATCCCTACAGCAGAGGGAACTTATGGGCCCATCGGTGATTGGTGTTTTGAAGCAATGTCTTTAGACAATCTTTTCGTCAGTCAAAATATGGGTGACTTCTCCTACAACATCAACGGTTGGGACGTAAGCAAGGTGACAGACATGACAGCCCTGTTCCAAGATACAAGCAACTTCAACCATGATGTATCTGCTTGGGACACGTCGAGAGTTACCGACATGACACAACTGTTCCGTGGGTGTTACCTCTACAACAATGATCTCTCTGGCTGGAAACTGAGTCAAGTAACGAGCGTTAGTGGGATGTTTAATGGTGCTGTTGCTTTTGACCAAGACATCACTGGCTGGGACGTGAGCAAAGTCTACAACATGAATGATCTCTTCTGGAATGCTGGTAAGATAGTTGTCGATCTGCATTGTTGCAAATACCTTGATGTTTCCCTTGCCTAATCAGATCTCTTTTGGAATGCAGAGTCATTCAATCAGGATATTTCCGTCTGGAATGTCGGCCAAACAACTTCCATGGTGAGGACGTTTCGTGAGACAGAAGCCTTCAACCAGGACTTGAGTGCATGGGATGTTAGTAAAGTCAGTTTAGTTGGGCGCATGTTCACGGATGCAGCAGCCTTCAACACCGACTTGTGTGCCTGGAAGTCAAAGCTCCCTTCCAATGCCGATGTTACACTGATGTTTGATGGCTCAGCTTGTCCGTACACGTCTGACCCCTCCTATATCGGTGGAGAGTGGGCCCAGATGTGCAACTGGTGCATTCCTGAGCCTTCGAATGCTCCAAGCTTGGAACCATCCCAGCAACCAAGTGACCAGCCTGTCAATGCACCCAGCGACCAACCTAGCTTTGCACCCAGCGACCTACCCACCACCAATACTCCCCCACCAACTCCTCAACCAACGCTTGAACCTACAGATGAACCCACCCCACAGCCCACCGACCAACCCACTGATTCTCCCACTTCGCCCGGACCTTAGATTGTATCATGTTTTAAATACATTAGACTAATACGTTCTCTTTTCATTTCCGGTGAAACATTCTTGGCATCTTCGCTGGCTAGCTAGGTACCGTACCAGGTAGGGCTCTCATGGCTCACTCTCACCTGGAGATCTTCTGCATGGCTGCTTCTTCCGCCTCTGGGCTCCTTTTGGGAGGCCGGAGTCGCTTTGCACAGTGGCCAGCCAAGAAACGTTGAACCTCCCCTGTGGCCGTTTCCGCAAAAAGATTTAAAGGGAGAACGCTTCTTTAGAAAGCAATCCGGAAGTAAGACTGATGCCACAGAAGGACCACAAGCGAAAAAACAGACATCTCGAAACAAAACGGTTGTGTTGTTGTGTCGGACACAGAAGCAGGAAGTAGTCTACTAGCAGCCCATTGGATACCACCTAGCTTATAAACAGAGGGAAGAGACACCTCGGATATCTCACAAGGTTACAATTGCCAGATCCACTAGCTAGCTAGGTTGCACTAGCTAGTAGTGGTACTATTACAAGTTCCAGAGATATTTGATTGCCAGCTCTGGTTATTAATTTTCGAAGTGGTTTTATTATTTATTCGTCTTGGGTAACAAACGACTGTCCACGATGGATTCGTCTCGCAACAATATTAATCCCCGTGCCATGCTGGAACCTCAAGTGAGTGTGGCCCGTGTGGCCGTCAGCGCGCAGCAGGACTATGAAATTTCCAAACAAATGGGAGCCATGCAAGCGTCCCAAGCCGTTCGAAGCAGCTTGTTGAACACACGATCCTCCACTACATCTGCTGGCGGTGGTCGTCCCAGTCTTCCAAAGCGCAATAGCTCCGAAGTGGAAGAGCCAGCTGCCGTGGCAAGAGTGGGCCGTCATGACGATTATCAAGCCGCCAAGAGAGAATCGGTTGTGGATTCTGTACCTTTGCCGCGACAGAGCAACGGCAGTGGTGGAAGAAATAGTGCTTCTCGAATGTCAACCAGCTCAGCGGCTGTGGCTGCCACAGATGTGGCCATCATGGATATTTCCGAAATTGAACCTTCCATGGTGGCAAGAGTGGGCCGTCATGATGATTATCAGGCGTCCAAACGAGAATCAATAGTGGATTCGATACCTCTACCCCGTCACAGTAATGTTAGTGGAGGAAGAAATAGCACTGCTCGAAGTTCCAATGGTTCCTTGGCAATGGCGGCAGCAGATGCTGCCATGAGGGATATTTCCGAAATTGAACCTACTGTGGTTGCTAGAGTGGATCGTCACGACGATTATCAAGCGGCCAAACGAGAATCGGTAGTGGATTCTGTACCTCTGCCGCGACAGAGCAACAGCAGTGGCGGAAGAAATAGTGCTTCTCGAATGTCAACCAGCTCAGTGGCCGTGGCAGCAGCAGATGCTGTCATGAGGGATATTTCTGAAATTGAACCTACCATGGTTGCTAGAGTGGATCGTCACGACGATTATCAAGCCGCCAAACGGGAATCAGTCGCTTCCTTGGATATGCAAGTCAAGGCAAATTTATTAGCAGCAGGCCAACGAGGCAGTGGCTATCGCAACAGCAATCGCGACAGCATCACGTCGTCTCTGCCCTCACTTACGACCATGCGAAGGGCCAGTTCACAACAATCAGAACCACAGTCCGTGGTCAAATTGCATCAGAGTACACTTTTGGAAGAACCACCAATGGATGCTTCTGCTACTACTGCGACAACCAGATCCTCTGTCCATCAAAATTCGGCAGCACGACGGACGAGCAATGCCGCCATGGATTCGTCGGCCCGATCTTCCATTCTTGTAAATAGCAATCGAACAATAGCAGCTTCACATGGTGGACCAAGACGTACGAGTAGTGGCGATGGCATGGAACCCACCGCCATGGTGCGCGGGAATGCCATGGATATCGACGTGAGCATACGGAGAGAACAAGACGCTCGCGCCACCAGTGGGGATGACATGGCGGCTCTGATTCCCACAATGAGAAAAGCCGCGGAAGAAGCCCAACGACGTGGAGATGTGGAGGACAGTAATAAACTGCCGGAAGGAAGTACAAGAGACGACAATAACCGAGGGGCGCGGCGTACTCATAGTGGGGATTCTACTTTGGAACCCACGTCCGTTGTCAAAATGCAAGATGGGAGCGTTGTGGAGAACCGGGGAAATACCCGCCGAACCTACAGTGGTGATAGTTTGGAACCCACCTCTTCCGTGGGCAGAATGCAGGATGGAAGTGCCATGGATAGCAGAAGAAGCGCAAAGCGCACAAATAGTGGAGATGGCATGGAGCCACCCTCCATGGTGGCAATGCAGGATGGAAGTACTGTTGCTGCAAGCACACGACGCACACATAGCGATGATGGTTTGGAAGCCATGCCAATGGTGGCTGTCGGTATCGCGGACACGACAATGGATTCTTCGCGTGCTTCTACTGCTGCTACGTCCATACAACAAAGAGGACGAAGAAATACATCTGCCACTCAAGTCGAAGCCGACGATCAAATCAAGGCCGGGCTCCGTAATTCTCGCATGAGTGCCACGGTCGTGGGTGCATCGTCTGTTAGTGCAGCCAGCAGGCGATCGACGGCACCTCCCAAGGCGGCGGATGCCGACGCCCGTGTCAAGGCTGGTTTGCGAAATTCTAGAATGTCTGCAACACCAGGTGCCGTGGCAGTTGGGGCCGTCAGTGTTACAAACCAAAACAACAATACGCAGGAAGTTAAAAATACGGGATCCATCACTCCACCCACATTGAGCCAAGCCGAGTCAGATTCGCGGGTTAAAGCCGGACTACGCAACGCTAGAATCTCTGGTGCCGCATTTGGTTCAGTGTCTGTTGGAACTGCGAGTGACATTTCCTCCGCCGGATCTCTTTCGCCGCCGGCTTTGACCCAAGCAGAGTCTGATGCACGCGTAAAGGCTGGACTGCGCAATTCCAGATTCTCCGCTTCCACGGCTGGTGCGTCGTCTGTTGGAACTGTCAGTGATGTCGGTTCTACAGGGTCTATAACGCCGCCAAAGTTGACTCAGGCCGAATCTGATTCCCGAGTCAAGGCAGGATTGCGGAATGCAAGACATTCTCTTGCCACGCCTGGTGCTGTGCCGGTAGGAGCGATCAATGTTTCGAATAGCAATCAAGAAGAAGTGGGGTTTCTCACTCCACCAAACATGACTCAAGCAGAATCTGACTCTCGTGTTAAGGCTGGGTTGAGGCAATCAAGACTGAGTGCTCCCGCCGGCATGTTGGTTGGGGCTGCCAACATAATGAATGACAATAGCAGCAAATCTGTCAATCAGGTGGAAGCAGACGCTCAAATCAAGGCAGGGTTGAGAAGATCTAGGCCGTCAGTGATTTCCGAGACCAGTCCCCTGTACGAGGACGGTGGAACACCGACATCAACGAGAGCTAGCGGAACCGCTGCTACGCTGGATCAGGATGCTCGTCTCAAACGAGGACTACGAAACTCTGTTGGCCCAGGAACGTTGGTTGGAGCTTTGGCTGTGACACCCGAGAGTAAAGGACGTGGCTTGGGTGCCAGTAACCGAGCATCTTTGACTCCAGGAGCTTCACCTGGACTTCGATTGACTGAAGGCGAAATGGCCAAGTTTGCAGGCTTGAGGACGTCTGGACGTACACCAGATCGAGCCGCCGCGGCGAGTTACGACGACGACGCAGCCACCCCGGGAGCTTCACCTCGACTTCGATTGACAGAAGACGAAATGGCAAAGTTTGGTGGGCTGAGGGCAGCGAGAACGCCGGATCGATCCGCCGAGTGCAGCCTCGACGACGGTGGCTTCCAGAGCACGGGAGACACTCTTGCGGGGGCGTACGATGGCACTGTCAACGAGGTGGTGGCAATGGAAAAAGCAAGACTTTTCGGTCAATCGTTCGATGATACCATTGGTAATCTTGCTCCTGAGAGCAACGAGGTCGCGGTCGCGCCGCGATCGTTTTATGAAGACGAACCACGTGATGCTGTGTCACAGGATGATGCCCCCAAACATCAAACATCGTATGTTCAAGTTGTTCAACCAGCTGGTTTGAATGGAGGTGATTTGCTCGAGGTTGAGGCAGGAAAAGGCAACGTAAATCGCCTTTGGTGTATCTTGTTTGTCGTGGTGGTGATTGCTGTCATTATCGTGGCAGCTGTCTTGGGCGCGAAAGACTCCTCTGGAGAGACCAGCACCGAGGCCCCAACAGAGGCTCCAAAACAAACAGATCCGTCCTTTTTCTCCTTGTCGGAAACGTTTCCTAACTCGACGTTACTGCCGGTGACGGTCAAGGCTATCGAGTCGCAATCGGGCCGCTCACCCCAAGTGCAAGCTTTCCGATGGCTCACTGAGGATCCAAACCTCTCAGATTACGTTGAAGCCAAGAGGTTACAAAGGTTCGCTTTGGCTACGTTTTTCTATTCCGTTAATGGAGAAGAACCCGGTGGACCCTTGGCCAACTGGTTGGTCTACGAGACGCATGAATGCGAGTGGTTCTCAAATGCTCCACAGGAATTCGAAGTGTGCAGAGGATTTGCCGCCGAGTTCGACGGCAGCTCGCCTTTTGCTCATTTTGACTACGTGTCATTGGTGCTTTCGGGAGCCTCCGACATCCAATATCAAGTAAAGGGTATGTTGGTTCCGGAGCTGGCTCTACTGACATCACTTCAAAGACTGGTAAGACTTGGAAGCCGTTTTTGCAGCTGCTCAGGTCCTCCATCCTCACAATTCTTCTCTCCTGCTACTCCCAGGATCTGGGGTTACAGAAGGTGAGGAGACAGTGTATCGGTTGGTGACGGCAATCTTGCCTCTTCATCCTCAACAGATCGCTCACAGTTTGTATCTTCCTTCCATAGCTCCGAGGTTCCATACCCAGTGAGCTTGGCTTGCTCTCGTCAACACTCCAGGATGTGATTCTGTATGACAACGCGCTGACGGGAACGGTTCCCTCTGTTCTTTTTGAGTATGTCCATAAATTGTGGATCAGCCACAACGGGTTTTCACGATCCACTATCCCAACATCAGTGGGACTAAACACCAATCTGAGGTCTGCGTTCCTCATTAGTTGCAGTTTGACGGGGGGCATCCCAGCGGAAATCTTTCAATCAAAAGCAAGCCTGAGCATGTTATATCTGCAACAAAATCAGCTGGAAAGCAGCCTTCCGACAGAGATCGGGATGGCGACATCGTTGTCAGAGTTTCGCTTGATGGAAAACCGGGTCACAGGGCAGGTTAGTGGAGAAACGACACACATCACGGCCCCTGCCTTCATCTGCTTGATGCTTCCGTCGTGCTCACCCTTTGTTTCATTCTAGATTCCAAGTGAGATCGGCATGCTGTCGCGTATGACCAGGTTCGGGCTTGCCCTCAATAGATTGACTGGCCAAATTCCTAGCGAACTTGGTAACATGGAGCAGCTGAGGATTTTGAATATCGGCGGGAATCGGCTAAGGGGTACACTGGTCTCGGAACTTGCTAAGCTTCGTCAGTTGCGTGAGTTGAAGCTTTCTTGGCCAACTGTCGCAGCTGATTTTCGCAACCGAAACTTAGAAGGGACGATTCCAGTTGAGTACTTTGTAACCAGAGAGTCAGAGGTGAACGACACAGGCGGACTGCGTCGCCTACAATCAAACGACACAGAGCCGCCGATTTCCGATGCAACCGGCAACGCAAGCCAAGTTATCGAACCAACCTTTCCTCACCTTGGGAGTTTTTGGCTATCTGATACGAAGATAACTGGAACGTTTCCTTCCGAACTTGCCTTTCTCCTGAAGTTGACGTCAATTCGGATGGCCGAGAATCGACAAATGACGCCAGTGTTTCTACCGACAGAGTTGGGTCTGTTGGCCGGTTTAGACGAGTTGGACTTGGCGGAGATTAACCTTCAATCCACCATACCGAGTGAGCTAGGAAGACTAGCGCAGCTGACTACGTTGAAACTACAGAACAACGAGCTGACGGGAAAAATTCCCGAGGAGCTCTCAGCACTTACGAATTTGGAGTGGTTCCAAGTCGATGGGAATGTGGATCTCACAGGCTCGGTGCCCCAGAATCTTTGCGGGGTCGAAATACGAGGAATTGGTTGTGCCGGTGACACCGTTCGAGACGGCGGGGAAACATTTCTCTGCGGTTGCGAGTGCCCTCCCTGTGCATAGTTTTGAGGAGCGACCCCTTCGGGCTCGCTCGATCCGCGAAACGAAGCGCCGTTGGTCGAGTTGCCAGAGAAGGTACTGCCAACCAGGACATCAACCTCTTCGTTGCTCGAGCCGAAACTACGAGGCCCCGTGCTGTACGTTCTGCGTTTTCTGAGTTGATTCCCCTGGCATCAAGCACTTCTTTCCGGCCAGTAGCAACTGGGAGTAGACGATGCCACGACGGCATATTGGCATCGATCTGGTACCAATGATCCCGAGACGGCAAAGATCTGCCAGTGGTGTGATTGATTCGCTGCAGCTACTGGTTAGACCTGAGCTACTGGTTGGACCTGAAGTAAACATCATGTTTTTGAACTAACAGTTGAATGAAAAAATCTATATAAACAAAAAGCCAATGCACAGAAAGTTCATTCTGTGCAAGTGCAAATTGGAACTCCCCCTCTCTAGCTAGAGGATGGCTACTGTTCTAAGCATATTCCAGTCCCAGCATCACAGCACACGCTGCAGCATCGTTGAGGACACGATACAAGTGGCTCTCCAGTAATGGTTGAACCATCACTTGCTGTATCGGTGGTGGGTGCACAGTCTGCAACAACATCAAATCCCCGTGGATTGTTTAAGTTTTCAAAGCAAATGCCATCTGGAATACTCCCTCTGAGTTCAGGATTTCCATTGGTTGTAAAGTGTTTCAGTTTGGTCAAGGCTCCAAGCTCCTCTGGTATGCTTCCCTCAAAGTTGTTGTTTGCCAGCTTCAAAGCCCAGAGGCGCTCGAGCAATCCCATGTTGGAGCTCAGCGTTCCGGACAAGCTGCAACTTTCTAGATCGAGACTAATCAACTTTGGGCAACCTAGGAAAATCTCTTCTGGTATACCACCCTCAACACCTGTGCCACTCAGCGATAGTTCCGACAGAGAAGAAACAAGACCAAGCTCTGATGGGATTGTTCCTGTCAAGCCATGATTGCCGAGAAGCCAGACCATAGAAGTCAGTTTGAGAGCATCTTCATCTTCCCCTTCTGCGGCTTGCACACCAGGTAATAGACCAATTTCCGTGGGAATAGTGCCGGTAATCTATAAAAGTGTGAAACCGATAACATTATTGAGGCCTGTCTGTGAAGAAATCACGTTGCAACGCAGCACTCCGCAACGACCTACCTGATTGTGACCCAAGGAAACGAACCTAAGATTCGTCTTGGCAGAAAATAGTTCCGGAGGAATGGTCCCAGTAATTTGATTTCTAGAGAGGGAAAACTGGTATCCTGACGAATACGATTGTTTGTTTGGTTGTTAGAGGTACTACTTCCCAGAACCAACCAAACCACGCACACACAATAGAAGACTTTGATTTACCTTGAAAAAGGCCAACTTCAGTTGGGATTGTTCCTGTAAATTTGTTGGAATACAGATTGATTCGCTGCAGCGATGGTAAAGAATAGAGCCCAGAGGGGATCGTCCCCGTCAGCATGCCCTCATCAAGCGACAACGACTCTAAAGAAGTGAGTTGCAAAAGAGTAGAAGGTATGGTACCAGTCAAATTCTGTTTGCGCAGTCGAATCGTTTCCAGGTTGGGCAGCAACCCTAGTTCACTTGGAATAGGACCACTGAGACCATTACCAACTGTGAAAGATGACAAAGAAGTAGAGTCTTGTCAGCTAACACGCAGCAACAGCCCTTCCGCGAGTCCTCCACTCCAAGGAAACAGTCTTGCGTGCACGAACCCAACTTACACATGTCCACTCCGGTAATGTTCTCTGTCTCGCCCTGGCAACTATTTCCAGCCCATTCGCATTCGGAAATATCAGATAGCCATGGCTCTCCTCGCACTTCATGTTGCTGCAGAATCTTATAGTAGCAGAAGTCTCGTCCACCAGCGCCACAATAATTCCAAGGGCTCTTTTGTGAGGTACTAAAGTAGAAGACTGCCAAAATAAAACGTTGGAGTAGATGGTTGGAATCCGGAGCCAATTGTTGAGGATCCTCCTGAATGATCCAATCGAGTGCTGTTTGATGCGGTTCCGTGTTGTCTGTGGAAGAACCACCAAAGTAGATTGGACCAAACGTTTTCTCCAACTGGGCTTTGATTTCCATGCCTTCCATGTCTCTGGGACTGGGTCCATCCATAGAGGACCCCTGACTGCTACTGCAGTTGCCACTGCCACAGACTCCTGCCAGGATGACTCCAATCACGACAAGCAAGGCAACGATGATATAAATGAGCGGCAACTTGCTGCTGCCAGAACCTCCCGTTGCCTTGGACTGCTGTTCCACAGGGACGGCATACTGCTCCAGTGGCGTGTTCACTACTCGATCTTCTACAAGTCTGGCATTTGGCATTTCAAGATCAATCTCCAACGGCTGAAGGGGATCGGTGCTGTTGGTGCTTTCGTTATTGGGGTCACACCCACCCATGTGCTGAATCCCCGGGGTCGTTGCGGGAGGCTGGAGAGGAGCATCCTTCTCCATAATCCCATCGGGACGAAACTGGTCTTCCATGGTTGCTTATTACTAGCTAGCTACTAGAGTAGTGATTGTCTCTATTGGATTCTGCTGGTAATGATCAAAGAAGCTGATCCGGTAGAGGCAAGCTTCGAGGACGAAAGGAGTGGAAATAGACTGGTCTAATAGAAGCTCTTGGTTTGTTTCTTTTCTTTGCGGTGTTGAACCTGTTTGCGGTGTTCAGTGTGGCGTGTGGCTGCTGTTGGCTTGTACTGTGGGTCTTGCTGACCACGTGTAAGAAGTCCCAGAGCTTCCGAAGGAAGCAACAGGAACACGAAAGAGATACACTCCTACCTCATCAATAAGGAATTGGATAACTCTATTCTGTGGTGTACTCGGGGCAGCCCAATCTCTGTATCTTTCAATTCATAGCTTGTGGCCAAGCCACTACCGGTAGCAGCTATTGTTACACACCCTACCATACTAATAACCACGCCCTCAGACAGTGAGGAGCCACTAACTACCAAAGCCCAAGAAGGCAAAGGTGCAAAACCTTGAGATGTAGAGGCAGGAGGCACCCGGAGATGAGGAGGACTTGGATGGACATGCAGATTGTGATATGGAAGATAGCTAGCTAGCGGCCCTCATTCTCCACATAGTAGTAGTATCAGCTTAGGATTTGACACCTTGGTACTCATACTGGTTTGGGAAATCTGAGTGTCTAGCTACTATCATAGTACAGCTGTACTAGTAGCTTGGTTATCTTTTTATAAATACACCAATGTATCTTAAGTATGAGTGAGCCGTGTACAACTCTGAAGAAGCCCATTCGTGTGCGTACTTGCGAACGTGCTTTTGTGGCTTATGCTTCAAGAATAAATTGAAATCGGCAACTGAGATCTACGGTACTGAGACTACTACGTATGTCATAATATCACTTAACGGTACGTGCTCAATTACCTCCAGAAACACGAAACCACTTACCGATGGCCGCTAGCTAGTGAAGTTGACTTTTTGTTCCAAGTTGCGAAAGTCGCGCACTGCGACTTTTACAGCGACTATTTTACAACGACTATCGCGACTTATTATTAAACGCGACTTTCCAGTGTTATTCGCTCTTGCATTACGCGACTTTACTATGACTATTTTACGGCGACTAACGCGACTTAAGCGCGACTATCGCAACTTTGAAGCAATTGGCGATTCCATTCTCAACATTGCCGAACCTGGTGCCTTCCCGTTGGTTGCTTCGAGTCAATTCGAGTTGTCGGCAATGGTAACGGTAACCCAAACTAGTTCGGACTGGGAGCTTGGCTTGGAGCCTTGCTGGGAATCAAGCTGGGAATCAAGCTGGGAATTTGACTTGGAGTCTCACTGGGATTGCCAGTTGGGGATTTACTTGGGGCAGAACTGGGTATGGTACTGGGTCTATGACTTGGTCCTCCAGAAGGAACATTGCTTGGAGCCTTGCTGGGAATCAAGCTGGGAATTTGACTTGGAGATCCACTGGGATTGCCAGTTGGGGACTTACTTGGGGCGGAACTGGGTATGGTACTGGGTCTATGACTTGGTCTTCCAGTTGGCATTTTACTTGGTACTGAGCTGGGGAAAATGCTAGGGATGGAACTGGGGATACTGCTTGGTAACTGGCTGTTTGTGGGAGAACTGCTAGGGATGGAACTGGGGATACTGCTTGGTAACTGGCTGTTTGTGGGATTGATGCTTGGTGCCATACTCGGAGATTCGCTGGGAATTGGGCAGGCAAGGCACACTGGAGACCATGTTACTCCATCGGACTGCAAGGTTGGGTCTGACCAAGAACACTTACTGAAAATAAAGGTATCTCTCCAACCTGACCCCTTGCCGCCCCAAGCACACAAATTTTGCTGAAATGATATTGCCCAAAGAAAGGTTTGATACATGTTAGTGACTTTTGACACATCCCAACCAGAGATATCTTGGTTGAAAAGACTTCCATAGCGCACAAATCCCTCCATGTTGCTGACATTTGAGACATCCCAATTTGTGATGGGAGCATTGAACTCGGAAGCTAGTGCAAACATGATGCCCATGTCTGTGACTTTTGAAACGTCCCATCCAGAGATATCTTTGTTGAATTCATAGTTTCTTCTGAACATAGAATTCATGTTGCTCACATTGGATACATCCCAGTTTGTAATTGGGGCGTTGAAGTCACTACAGGAGTCAAACATTCCTTCCATAGAGGTGACTTTCGACACATCCCATCCACTGATGTCTTGATCAAACATACTTGCACCTTTGAACATGAAGGCCATGGTTACCGCCTGACTTGTGTCCCAGCCAGTAATGTCAGCATTGAAGGTTGAACGTGAATCAAACAGATTGCTGAAGTCTGTTACCCTGGAAACATCCCAAGTGGAGATGTCCCCATACTCAGATGTCCCTGTGCTTATCCAATCATCTATTGCATCCGAAAGATCGCCTCTGATGTCAATTGAAGCCGGCGTGGGAACCAGGCTTGGAATAGGGGTGGGAGAGGGGGTAGGAACTGGGGTTGGAACAGGCGTGGGAGACGGGTGGGAGCTGGGGTTGGTACAGAGTTTGGTACAGGGGTGGGAGATGGAGTTGGAGAAGGGGTGGGAACATGGGTTGGAGCTGGGGTGGGAACATGGGTTGGAGCTGGGGTGGGAGACAGAGTTGGAGATGGGGTACTTGGAGCAGCACTTGGCAATTTGCTGGCAGTGGGGCTGATGCTGAGCAGGCTGCTGGGTTGTGCACTTGCTGAAGGGGATCGCTTGGAATTTGACCTGGAGAGCTGCTTGGCAGAGCACCGGGGACAGTGCTCGGTAGCTGGCTTGTGGTTGGTGCAAAGGCGGGGGGGAGACCACTGGGATTTGGACTCACAGTCGGGGATTCACTTGGGACAGGACTGGGTTTGGTGCTAGGTCTATGACTCGGTCCTCCAGTTGGTGTTTCACTTGCTGCTGAGCTGGGGAAAATGCTAGGGATGGAACTGGGGATGCTGCTTGGTAACTGGCTGTTTGTGGGAGAACTGCTAGGAAAGGAGCTTGGAGCAGAGCTTGGTAACTGACTGGTAGTGGGACTGAAACTTGGAGCTTGACTTGGAGATTGACTTGGTGAGGAAGTGGGCGTGCTAGTGGGATCATTGCTTGGTTGGGAGCTTGATGTAGGTGAGGATGTGGGTTTGCTAGTGGGATCATTGCTTGGTTGGGAGCTTGATGTAGGCAATGCACTTGGAAAAGCACTAGGAGCTGTACTTGGTACTTCACTCCCGCTTGGGGGTGCACTTGGAGCTGTGCTTGGTGCTTGACTGCCAACACTGGGTTGCAATGTTGGGGTCTGGCTAGGATCAGAGGATGGCAGTTGGGAAGGGAGCGTGAGGCTAGGACTAGAACTGGGCAGGGTGCTGGGCTGGGTGCTGGGCACAAGTGATGGGACTGGGCTAGGGTCGGTGGAGGGTGAAAGGGAAGGGATAACACTTGGGGACCTGGAAGGATTATTGGAAGGCGTTATACTTGGAGAGGATGATGGGCTAAGTGAAGAGCTTTGAATCAATGCCCCTATATTGGCATTCTGGAGGATGGCATTGAATGCATCAGACAGAGGCCCGACAAAATCAGTGCTGTAGAATGCAGCCAGGGATACTAGGTCAGCACTTGCCAGGAACACCAAATCCTCACTCGCAGCTGTTCCCTGGAGGCGACGTCGTTGTGAAGTCCTGCTTTGGACAGTGACAGCCAGCACTTCCACTGAACATGTGGATTCGACTGACTGTGACGCGTTCAAGAAGGCATCAGCAAAGTAGACATTATCTTTGGCAGTACTGTCTCCTGAAAGCGTTACTATCATCGTGACATCCATGTTTTGAAGTGGATCAGTGCATGTTGGCATGGCAGTGGGAGAGGAGGATGGGAGGCCTGTGGGCTTTTGGGATGGATCGAATGATGGCTGGCCAGTGGGGATGGTTGTTGGTTGGAGGGAGGGCATGGGTGTAGGCAACTGGCTGGGCTGGCCGGTTGGAACAGCTGTTGGTTCAACAGTTGGTTCAACAGTTGGTTCTTCTGTTGGCGCTGGAGTCGGCTCATCTGTTGGTTCTGGGGTTGGTTCTGGGGTTGGTTCCTCTGTTGGTGTTGATGTTGGGAGAGGTGTATTTGGGACTGCTGTGACATTGACACTAACCCTGGCCACGGCCACGTTGGGTGTTGGCCCCAATGTGGCATTATGTCGTGGAGTTACAGTTATCATTGACTCAGGGACCGATGTGGGTGGAGAAACCACAGAGGTCGCTGGAGTGGTTGCGTTGATGGGATCTTCCAGGACCTCCGCATTCATAATCTCAGGAATGACAACAATGGGCAATGGAGCAGCCACAGACGGTGCTGGAGTGGTTGCGCTAAAGGGATCTTCTAGAACCTCCTCAATCTCAGGAATTACAATAATGGGCAATGGACCAGCTGTATCCCCTTGTGCTTCGACAAGTGCCATGTTGTACTCTGTGAGGAAGACCACAGATCTGCTAGTGTTCTGCTGTTCCCCTGGATCTTTCCCAATTGGACACAAACACACGTCAAGAGCCTGCTGAAGGTGTCTGCCCCCCCTTGACGGAACACGAAATTGCAAGAAAGGATCACGGGCTTTAAGAAGAGGGATTTCATCTTCTTGCATAAGAGAACGGCGGAATGTAGCTTCGAACAATGAGAAGCTCCCCGTGTCAGTAACAGGGCAGTTTCTGCATCTTCCAGTAACCTCAAAGAGTACTCTTCCTTTGTTTCTAGTCGTGTTGGATGAATCTGTGGAATTTCCGAGATCTGTTTCATTACCACTCTGCAATCTTCGGCCTGATACTTTGTCGGAGACCACCAGACCCACCTTGGATACAACCCGAAAGAACTCATCACATGCCTCAAATGACACGCTGTTGTAGGTTTCCTCAAACACTTTCTCCAATATCTCAATGGTGCTGTTCGGAAGTGTTGAAGGATCTACGCCAATCTCAGCATATACAAAGGACCTGAATTGCACTATTTCTCCATCACAGAGGACTGGTTGTCCTTCCACGACATTTCCAGCCATGCTCTGCACTGATTCTGCTTCGCCATCATCCTCCAGGTCTTCGATTTCATGATTGAATGCCACCTCAAAGTTTTCTGTTGTGGGTCCTGAACCAATCTGCGGCTCTTCCCCAACAGGGCAAATACAAGAATCACTGGTGCCAACTTGTTGTTGCTGCTGCTGAAGTTCCCTGAACAACTCTGTGTTAATTGACGATGATATCCTTGCAATCAGGTTTCTTCGCCGTCGGAAAGCATCATCAAAGAGGTGGAATGTGCCAGTGTCTGTGACTGGACAGTCTCTGCATGTACCTGTGACGGAGAATAAAATGGGAACGATATCTTGTCGAACTCGTTGGGGTGCTGCTGTCCCTGTAGAATTCATGGTGCTGTTGGTGCTATTGAAGCGACCAGAGCTGTTTGTTATGATAGCCTGTTGTAGATCTCTTTCTAGCAAGACATCCTCCAATCTTCGGGCAGCTCCCACAAGATCAATCGCTACAGTGTCGGATGTTGGGATGACCTGCAGTTCCACTTTTGCTACGCTCCTGAAATGGCCATCACATGTCACATAAGCAAGCCTGTTGTAGGCATCTTGGAAACTCCGCTCAAGGGACCTGGCCTCTTCAATGGTGAAAGAAGTAATATTGACGCGGAGGTCCGAGAACACTGCCGATTTGAAGCTCAGCAAACTAGTTCCACAGTTCACTTTTTGTCCTTCTTCAACATTCTCTGCCACTTCCACAGCTTCCACTACCCCGGCTTCTTGTAACTCCTCCAGTTCCATGTTGTAGGAGTCAAGAAAGTCAGTCTGCGAGAGGGTGGGAGCTTCCTCTGCCTCCTCCGTTATCTCTTCAGTTTCGGTGGGACAAATACAGATATCGCTCTGTTGCAGCCACTGGTTGCCCTGCATGATGCTGTCAAACTCCAGCAACGACTGCTTTCCCTTGATTCTAGCAGCCAAATCCCTTTTTTGGCTTTTGCTCCCTCCAAAACGATATGGTGATCGAATTTGGCCCCAGTCATCAAGCAAGGCTCTTGCCTTCCCGCGAAATGCATCATCAAAGAGGTTGAAGCTACCAGTATTGGTAACAGGACAATTTCGGCATTGGCCAGTCACAGTAAAGGCGGCATTCCCCACCTCAGACCGAATATCTGTGGGAGCTAGGGACGGTGCTGATGATGGACTGGTGGTGGCTGTAGTCATGTTTATGATAAGAGTCCCATTCGACCCCAGCTGCTGCGGCTTTCGGTCCTCAAATGTCAGGTCCAAGGTGGCACTGACCACCGTTCGGAAGTGGGGGTCACAGGAAAGGAAACTCAATTGATTATAGGTTCGAACAAAGGCATCCTCGAGTGCTGTGACTTCCCTTGCAGACGGCACCGCGTTGTTGGCCACGTTGACACTAACATAGGCAAAGGATGTAAAGCTCAGTTTTTCTTCCGAGCAGGGAATGATTTGTAACTCGGTGATGGTTTGTACCGTCAGTGGGACACTCCAGGGAGCGGTAACGTTCCTCCATGCGCCATTCAATATGGGAAGAAACTCCTTGAGCGAGAGACGGTTGGAATTGGGTGTCACTCCCGTGGGACACACACAGGAGGAAGAGGAGGATGATAGTTGCTTGTTGGCTGCCACTGGACTCGCCGTCGCAGCGATACTGTCCTCGGCGGCAAGAGTGCTGTTGCTGCTACTGTTGGTGGATGCCAAAGAACTACTAAAGCTTGCTGCAAAGTGGCTCGGAAAGAGAGGCTCGGAGGAGGTGGTACAGTTGTAGCATTCGGCCGACACAGTCAGGGTCAAGATGGATCCGCTCCCCACGACCATGTCGTCTTGAATGCTTTCCATGGTGATGGATTGAATGGTTCGAAAATGAGGAATATCACAGGATTGAAAGCTCTGTTCATTGTAGGTATCTCGGAATGCGTCGAGTAGGTCATTGACCAGTTCTTCTTCGTCGTCCAGAATCCAGGACAAGTCTTCTTCCACAATGGTCAGTATGAAATTCCGAGACAACTCGGTGATTCCCGACCGATGGCATTCGTATTCATCCACCGCCACGAGCTGTTTGCTCGAGGCACTGCCTACCGGAGTCACCAGGAAAACTAGCAGTAGTAGCAGGAGAGTGGGGATTGTCATCAGGAACGACGCCTTGTCACTCCATCTTCTTGGTAGACGCATTATGCTGCTGTGCCTTGGTGAACTTTTAGATACCATGGCTGGGAATCTTCTTGGGGGCAGGTCGGCTGCAGAGAAAGAGAGATCAGAAAGACAGAGAATATGTCAGGTTGGCCATCCCTAAACTTCTTTAGAAATACAAAATTGGTCCGCTTCATGGAGGCTGTGCCGGAAGCCTTTGGGCGTGTCCAAACGCCTACCTTCTTCAACGAGTGGTGGGAACGTCCTTATAGTTTGGCCCAGCAAAATCCTGTTCAGGGGCCACTTCAATTCCTGCTGTTTTCGCTCTGACCTAATCTTGTTCTGAGGAGTATCTTCTTCGCCAACAGGGTTGGCGGAAGCGACATCCTCTGCTGCATAAAGGAGAGTTTTGGGATGCTCCTCGACCCCCTTGTCGTCGAGACGGGAGCTTTTCATGCGTTGATCTTGCTGTTGGCGGTAGTGCTTCATGGTACCAAGGAGATTCCGAGGTTCTAGTTCCCATCCGCTATTCTCCATCATAGACATGTTGTTGTTGTTGCTGCTACTCATGTCGACACGCAATGTCAAAGGTTCTTGCAACTAAGTCGATAGGTTTTCGGTGAGCTGCTATCCAACAGAACAAATTTAATTTATAGTTGGCGGAAGAGGAATGCAGCGAGGAATGGCACAGCGGCACACGTACGGGTAGTACCGGTAGTAGTAATAGCTAGTACCGGTACTAGCTAGTACTGCTGAGTAGTAGATTTACGAGCTGAGCTCAAGCTACCGGTATTAATATAAAAAATGAGTTTGTTCGCACCACTCACAATAAGTAAGTGTGTACACCAAAGACTGGTGATTGGCAATTGGCAGTTGCCGTACCTGGTACTTATTTAAAAGTCTGGAGTTTGTTTGCACAACTAACTCATAATAAGTAAGTGTAGAAGGTTGAAACACCAAAGACTACTGGTGAGGCGATGGCATGTCAGAGAACGGGTCTTTCGCAGGACATTGTGTTCATGGATGTTGCTGTAGTCTACTTATTAGGATGGTAAACAGAAACGCGAGGGTCATCCATGTCCCGCAGCTTTAAAAAAACCCCTCTATATAGTAGATCCATTATTAGACTATTAATAGTAGTCGTAGTCCTCTAATCCTATTTTTCACAGGTCATTCATCAACATGTCAAGATGATCGATAAACATCGAAAAGAGATGCCCATTGGTCACCAAACTTCTTCTTCGATTTTCTTTGGAAGCATGTCTTTCTGTGACTCTGAAGCCGGCCATTCTACAGTACACGTGTAGAATGGCCTACTAGCTAGCTAGAAGCCTCACATTTTCGCTTCTTATTGACGTTTCAGCAACCCACCAACAGCAATTCTCAACAACGAGAGACCCATTCTTTGGACAAAAAACTTCTGGTCACCCAATGGTTTACAACATCACCGATTGATTCCGGAACAATTGATCCATTGCACTCTCCCAAGAAGATTTCGCCCAATCGGGAAGCAACAATGGCACCGATCAACTCTTCTTCTTCGGTCGGTGGATCCATCACTGCTTCCCTTTCATGGAGCCCACAACTCAACATTAAATTCAATCCTTTGTGCAACCGGAAGAACAGTATTCTACACTAGCTAGCTAGGTAGCTAGCTAGCTACATCTGTCGCTTGAGAGGTTTGGCTTGGTCTATTTTGATTTCGAGATCCCGATCAGTTTGATTTCGAGATGGGGATCCGCAGAATTGTTTTGCTGCCTTGAAGTAAGTGCGAAGGAGGTTTCAAGGAAGCAGCCATCGTCTCCAAGACTGACCGAAAGGAGGCTTTACAGATGTTCATACTACCGTTAGCCACCAGGTAGTGGCACACTGGCCGAGATGAAGAATAAGGAAAGCTGCTTCTACAAGGAAAACCACAACTGCAGCAGCAATGCCATAATCACAGAACTTCTAGAAGGAGGAAAATCCAACTTCTTGAATAGGAAAACGGATTTACTCACTCTCACGGTGGAATTCAGAATGCAGGTTAAGGCGTAAGTTGCTTGTAGTACTGGCTAGCTTGCACTCCTTTGCAGCATCGAGCGTTGCCTCCAGCTTATCCACGTCATATCTAATCCTCTTGGCATGTTCCAAAATTTCACTGGAGTGTGCTTTGGGCGAATGATCAAGCTTCGGCCTCTTGCTCTTTGGGATTCGTACTGCTGCTCATGGCAACTGTTGCTTTCAAGCAATGAGGAGTGTGATGCTTGCGGTGAGTGTCCTCCTCTGTTGCTGCTCGTGCGGGGCTATTCTTTGATTACTAGTATCCTACTCAAAACCCCCGTTTACTAGTATCCTACTGGCTGCTTGACATGGTCCTCTGTGATGGAGGACAATAAAGGATGCAGTACAGTACGTACCGGTACTAATAGCGTCGGCGGTGGCAATGGTGCACCATGTATTGCCTTCTTGGTGGCCGGTAAGCCAGGGTTACTCGGCATTTTGTCAGTTTTTGTGATTAAGTGATCTTATGTAAATGTCTACACATGTGTAGACATAGTAGAAATAGAATTGTGCCTTTAGGAGCATTAGTAGACAAAGTGATCATTGTGAGACATTGGTAGACAAGTGAGACATTGGAACTTGGTAGACAGTGAGACTTTTTGTACTTTTTACTGACTGTGTAGACAAAGTGAAACATTGTAGACATTGTAGAAAATGTAGACATTGTGAACATTGGTAGACAAAGTGAGACATTGTGAGACATTGGTAGACAAGTGAGACATTGTGAGACATAAGCCATTTTTTCTAAGGAGCATAGAACATTTAGGCAACTCTGTAATCAGATACAATAGCTTAAATAGACAGAATGCCGAGTAACCCAGGCACGAAGCTGCCTGGCTCGCTTTGAATTTCAAAATGAAGGTTAGCACAGGACCCAACGGTTTCGCTCAGGCTTTAAAAACTGCCACGACTGACTCGTTCTCGTTAAGAGGATTTAAGAGGATGTGAAGATTTAAGAGGATGTTTAAAAGAGGATGTTGAGTATTTAAGAGGATGTTTAAAAGAGGATGTTTATTTTTATTAAAAAGGGATGTTCATTCGTGATAAGAGGAAGTCCTATGGTGTTTCAAAGAAGGCTTAAGAGGATGTTTCGAAGCTTTAAGAGGTTGTTGTTAAGAGGCCGTTTATTTAAGAGGATGTTTAAGGTAATGTTGAAGATTTAAGAGGATGTTAAGAGGATGTTTTTAAGAGGATGTTGTCAGTCGTGAACGTTTCAAGTTTTTTAGATCCTTAGCCAAAACCGTCAGACGTTCCTGTAAAGTCCGAAATTTCCGGTAAATTTTTTTACACCATGCATGGGGTAGTGGATTGGCTTGCCACGTACTGAGCCACTGTACAAATTGGCGTAGCTCGGACGTTTTTTGTTTTTCAGACATCTTCCAAATGGGAAAATTTTCATAGGCTCGGACGCCGAACCATCCCGTTATCTTCCAACAGCGGATTCCATTGCACGGCAACAAGGCAACAAGCAAAACAACAAATAGCAACAGAGATGATAATTCACGGTACCTGGTATCAAGTATCGTAGAAACAGAAATGATACTGGTACCATGCTATAGCCATACTCATAGTGAAGCGAGGCCAAACTAAGTCGGGATGAATACCACCAAGTCAATACAATGAAGAAGCCTGCATGAGGATCGCACGAATCTCCATGGGACGACAATGGAGAAATCCATCTCGTCCCACCTTGTTTGAGCGTATTATGTTTGGCAAGAGAAGCTTCGAATCACGGATTGATTTAGTCAACAGGCACTCTTAGAGCAGTGCCCTCATGACATACTATCAAGAGCTTCTATCCAACTATGCATTATGAACAAATTGGAATTGAATATGGGAGGTGTGTAGATTCGAACGGACTCAAATGAAACCCAGAGCAATGCTAGAACCAAAAACAACAACCAACCAACCAGATCTCCACAATATTGCACAAATCTGGTTTTTGCCTATAAGACAGCCATTCCAATCCACTGTCACAAAAATCAAATGTACCACCAATGCACCAATTCAGAATGCAAACGCAATCAATAAAAACCCAAAGAAGATACCAGTGGCAAAGAAGATATCAGTGGCACAAACAGATGTCGACCCACACCATCATCTAAGAAGCGCATTTTAGCCACCCAATTTACCAGTGTGCTTGTGCGTAATGGTCTTGTGCAAGAGCCTCTACAGTCCGATGCAGGTGCCTACTATTAACCCAGCTTTGCGTCAAATGATCTTGATGTTGCCTATAGATTCGTACGGTACATTGCGTCATAATAAGCAAGGCTACAACTAGTGTTTACGCAAATGCTTAACGAAAGTGCACGGAGAACAGAACATTCTTTACTATTGAGCAAGATTCTTATAGGTGCGCCTGCTTCAACATGCAAATGGGCACATTCTTTATGCACCAAGCCATCAACAGTTTTCGCAAATGGCATTCATTTTCCATATGTCCAAGCAAAAACTTTGGCCACCCCTCAAATCTTTTCCAGTTGCACAAAATAAACACGCACGATGGTCAAATTCAAGTGCCCGTACTGCTTACAAACGTGCAAGACCGACTGGGGTTTGAAGCATCCCGCATTCGATTCAGACTCAGCAACAACGACATCAACAGAGAGACAAAGAAGGAGTTCATCGCCCTGAAGAACAGACTTCAAGAGAGCGCCAGTTCCCGGTGGAAGAGCGAAATAGTTGCCAGGGCAAGAAACAACGGTGTCCACAAGGCAGGCAGAAATAAAAACCTTGTTGACATGTTTGAAGACCTAGTCAGGTTGCTGACAATTGACTCTGACTTGGACATTGACAATGTTGTGAAATGCGGGAGCGTGGTCTACCCAATTCTCAACTCAAACAAGGAAAAGACGGTGAAAGAAATTGTGGAAGCCCTCACAACCAAATTTGGTATTAGGTACCGAGACAACACTGCCGTTGGTGCAAGAGATGCAGTGTACCAGTTGGTTGTCAAGAACTCACTCCAGACCATTCGCAAGAACTTCAACAAGCCAACCAACAAGAAACTCAAGGATAAGCGCCTATACTTGAATGAGAACCAGATTGATGGGAGCTGCGAGCTTTTAGGCGGAAGGAGGGTGAGCAGCAACATTGCATTCTCATACCACAACATTGGGAATCTAGACAAAGCATGCAGTGTCCTAGCTGGCGTCAAAGGTAAAGTCGATATGGTCAAGAGAGCTTCAGAACGGGCATCAACTTGCGGTGCATCTAGAAGAGCATCAGTCAAGAGTGCAGATCTGCCTCCTCGAAGAGCTAAAAATCAGAGGAAAACGCCCTCCACATCAGCTTTCTCTTCCAGTTCCTCTAACAGCAGCTCTTCTACCAAGATTTCTTTATCTAACCAGCATGAGGATCCGGATATTTGCTGTGCCGCTTCAAACGCAAGCACCATTTGCTCCGACACATCCCGCCATGAGAATTTGCAAGCTGCCCCGCCCACTCAAGAGATCATACCCCCCAGCAGTAATGATTTCTCCGAGTTCATGCCATTCACCGGTGATGTTGGAAACCCACCAAGGACATTTCAAATGAGTGATACAACCCTTCCGGAGCTTATTACCGACGAAGAATGCATTGCCCTCGTGGAACAAGGCAATGTGGGCCTTGGTAATATACATGTTGCGTTTGCACGTTGATGTCTTTTGTTGACAGCCCCCATTCTAACCATGCTATGATCCTTCTCCCCTCCCAGTTCAGCGGCGTGTAGACCAGGATAAGTACACAGCCAGCCATAGGCAATGGGGACATGCACCAGAAGCAAACCAGTCAGTACCAGATCTTTTCTAGTACTACCTGTCCACCACCTCAGCAATTCCAGTCAAGCTTGTTCAGAGAGCAGGACCCTGCTCTGTTCAGATGTGACAGCTACATCAACCATCATGGAGGCCCTGGCCCGTCTGACAAGGTATGATATTTTGCTTTCCCCTTTCGTCTAATGACCAAAAATTACATTGCCTTTTTTTCGACAATGTAGGTGACCTTGGAAGAGATCAATAGTGGCATCAAAGCCATCAAAGATTCAGTGCTGACCCTTTCCAGTCGCTTGTCCACTGCAGAAAAGCAGATTGAATTCTTGCACAGTGACCAGAAGGGGACCAGAGGGCGAGTGCATACACTGGAAACAGACAAAGGGACAGACAGTCAGGCGCAAACACAGCAGCTCTTACAAGAAGCTGCCGCGTCGTCTCTTGTTTAGAGTGCAAAAGATGGGTCTTCTGCTACTTCAGACAAAAGTGTGAGTGCTCATGTATGTTTCTCTCCCCCATCATGAATCACTCTCTAACAAAACAGTTGTACATTACACAGCAGAAGGAGAAGAAGAAAAAGGCAGAAAAGGCAAAGGCTTCAGACAAAAGTGTGAGTGCTCATGTATGTTGCTCTCTCCCCCATCATGAATCACTCTCTAACAAAAACAAGTTGTACATTAGACAGGAGAAGGAGAAGAAGAAACAGACAGAAAAGGCAAATGGCAAACAAAAGACCAAGAATGTGAGTCTTCTTTTCCTTTCCTCATTACCCGAAAGTAATATTTACCCTTTTGGTTTTGTGCCTAACATATATCGCCTTCTCTCTCTGCTTTTCTATTCCAGAAAAGGCTCAGTTCAGATAACCCGAGCAAAAAAGTAGCTACCAAGAAATCAAGGGTAAGTCAAAAATGGATACTGTTCCAGCATCATAAGATGAGTTGTAGCTAAGACATCTTTTATTGTGTTATGCTATGCTTTCACCTTCTCAGAAAAACGAAGAAACCCAAGTGGAGGTAATGACACAGACAGCAGAGAAAAAAGCAGGAGTCCCTACTCTCGTCCCCTCACTTATTTTCTTTGCTACATGTTCATTCCAGGGCGCAGCAGGAGTCGATGGAGGAGGAATTGTCGGTTGGCTCAGATGTAGAGATTGAAGACGAGTTCGGTTTGAAAGAGCAGTTTGTTAGCTTTGGGTACTACAGACACAAGAATGATCACGTCAGCATTGAATCCCTCAGTGAGCTTACACAGCATGTTAACACTACAGAGGACCTCACCTTCAAACTCCCTTGGATTACATTCAAGAAACTCAGTGAGGTCAGCAAGCGTCCCAACAAGAAAGCCAAAGATTGCGTGGTAGGAGATGTTGCAAGTATGATCAGGGAGGGGAGCATTGATGTAATTAAATCTCTCCTAGGTTGGAAAGGAGACCATTTCAAGGAGGGTGATGCAGCTAATGAAGAGATTTGGAACTTTGCGTGTTCCCAGTTGACTGACCTTTTTGATGACACACAAACTGTGGCCGACCTTGAAGCCGAAGGGGCAAGCGGACATTTCGAAAAAGATTGGCCGTCCTTGGTATTCGAAAGCACGTTCGATCTCTTCAAGGTCATTGATACTAGCAGCCCCACCGTCTCCCTTGCAACAACGCTTCTTTTATTTGTGATACATGACTGGCCTAGCTCTTTTATTCATTCCAATCCTTCCCGCCATCTCCATTCTACCCAAAAGCCCTAGAAAACCAAGGTATTTACCCCACTATTGACCCTTAAATATTACCCAACCTACGATTCTTTCCACAAATAGTAGTAAAATTCCCGTAGAATCCTCTAATTTTCCCCCAACCCCCCTAAACTTCTCTTTTTGCAACGTTTTATAGATGTGTGAATGAAAGCACGACTCTTTTGGGCAGTTATTTCATTCCAGTTCCTTGTGGAGTTGAACTGACAGGATTTTTTCGAAGTAAACAGGGGCACGTCATCACTGTGACTCGTGCTTTGAAATATGCCAGTGTTGGTGTGGACTGAGTAATCTTAATCGAATAGGTTCGAATTCGATTTGATTTAGAGTGTGGGTAAATGTATTCCTCACATCATAATGGGGTCGTTTTAGAGTCTGGGTTAATGAGACAGTTAATGGGGTCTCGTTTTGCAGGAGATACTTTAGGGCTTAGGTCCAAATGTGCCGTGGCATTAAATGTAAATGATGTCATCGCAGCTTTGAGATTTCAAAATAGAGCCTGCTATTTATTTGCTGCTAGTTTCGTCACGCTGCCTGTGTATCCATCTCTTAGTAATGTGTCAAGCTGCAAACGATAATTGCTCCAGAAATCCTTCTGCCAAACAATGAATCGACTCTGCGACCATTCTGTGCAGTTTTCAGGTGCTTTGGCAGAAAAAAAGTCATCTGCCAGAGACAAACAACCCTCCTGGCAGAAAAAAAAACACCTCCCGGCAGAAAAAAACACCTCCCGGCAGAAAACCAGCCGGGCTTTCGGAACTGCAGAGTTCGAGGGCTTCTGCAGAGTGCACCCAGCCTGCTTCAGGAAAAAAAATGTTTCTGCGGACTCAAAAAGGGCGTTTCTGCAGAGTTTTCATTCCCAGTGTAGTAGATTGTAAAGTACGTCACTTCCCAACCTCTGAGCACCGGTTGCCTAATTGGAACCTTGGACTTGGTTCGGAAGGAGAGGTTGGGATGTGCTTCCCGAACGAGACCTGAGGTCTCAGTTTTCAGAATTACCTACAATTGGCTTCTTAGATGTGGGACAGTATGGTTTTTCCACGGGACATGATGGCACCTTGATGGAAGAGGCCACTGATGGGGCCATGATCCGTGCGGATGTAGGCAGCAGCTGTGGCCAGCTGTATGATGTCATCGCAGCCTTGAGATTTCAAAAAGAGACTGGCTATTAATTGCTGCTAGTTTATCAAAGCCTGACGTTACAATGACTATATTACCCAGTCTTCCCACAAAGAGTAATCCGTAATATTTCACCCAACGCTTCACGTTAATTGTAATAAACGACCCTGTTTCTCCTATTGACTGCGTGTTCAGTAAACAATCCTCTCGAATGTTTGGCGTTCTGTTCACCATTTGTAGTGGGTATGTCGACACATATGGGTTCTTAATCTGTTGGGAATGGGTTTTCGGAGGAATTAGGGCTATAACCGCTAAGCAAATGCATCGGCCTTGTTCTAACTGCTATTTTGCCATTGACCTGCCTGATCCATCTCTAAGTAATGTGTACAAGCTGCAAACGATAATATCTCCAGAAAATCCTTCTGCCAAACAATGAATCGACTCTGCGAGCCATTCTTGCAGTTTTCAGGTGCTTTTGGAACAGAAAAAAAGTCATCTGCCAGAGAACAAACACCCTCCGCTGAGAAGAAAAAAACACCTCCCCGACAGAAAAAAACACCTCCCGGCATGAAAAAGCCATGCCGGCTTTTGGAACTGCAGAGTTCGAGGGCTTCTGCAGAGTGCAAGCCAGCCTGCTTCAGAAAAAAGTGTTTCTGGGACTCAAAAAGGGGCTTTCTGCAGATTTTTATTCCCAGTGTAGTAGATTGTAAAGTACAGTCACTTCCCAAACCTGGTGCACCGGTTGCACTAATTGGAACCTTGGACTTGGTTCGGAAGGAGGGGTTGGGATGTGCTTCCCAAACGATACCTGAGGTCTTCGTTTTCGGAATTACCTACCAATTGCGCTTCTTAGAGTGGGACAATGGTTTTCCACGGACATGATGGCACCTTGATGGACAGACCACTGATGGGGCCATATCCGTGAGGATGTAGGCAGAGCTGTGGCCAGCTATGATGTCATCGCAGCCTTGAGATTTCAAAAAGAGACTGGCTATTTATTTGCTGCTAGTTTCGTCACGCCTGCCTGGTATCCATCTCTAAGTAATTGTCAAGCTGCAAACGATAATTGCTCCAGAAAATCCTTCTGCCAAACAATGAATCGACTCTGCGAGCCATTCTGTGCAGTTTTCAGGTGCTTTTGGCAGAAAAAAAGTCATCTGCCAGAGACAAACACCCTCCTGGCAGAAAAAAACACACCTCCCGGCAGAAAAAAACACCTCCCGGCAGAAAAAGCCATGCCGGCTTTCGGAACTGCAGAGTTCGAGGGCTTCTGCAGAGTGCACGCCAGCCTGCTTCAGGAAAAAAGTGTTTCTGTGGACTCAAAAAGGGCGTTTCTGCAGAGTTTTTCATTCCCAGTGTAGTAGATTGTAAAGTACGTCACTTCCCAACCTGGAGCACCGGTTGCCTAATTGGAACCTTGGACTTGGTTCGGAAGGGGAGGTTGGGATGTGCTTCCCAAACGAGACCTGAGGTCTCGTTTTCAGAATTACCTACAATTGCGCTTCTTAGATGTGGGGACAGGATGGTTTTTCCACGGGACATGATGGCACCTTGATGGAAGAGGCCACTGATGGGGCCATGATCCGTGAGGATGTAGGCAGCAGCTGTGGCCAGCTGTAAGTTTTGAACAGTGTGATCATCGATTCCACTGAGATCGATGTATCTACCATATAGGTGTACAACACGGACATCCTTTCCAAGGATGCATCCGTTCGCTCCCCGGTCCATGAGGGCTTTCCACTGTAGCTTAGACCAGGAGTGATTGGATACGTTGTACATTACAGAACATGGTGTGCTATCAGACTCCTTGAACGACATGTCGAGCACTTGGACTTGCCGTTGCATGCCCTTATCGGCGGAAGGTAGCCCCAATTGTGGGGGGCATGCTACCCCGCTGACATGGGCTGTGCTTGAGTTTCTCGGGCTGTACCTGTGCAGCACATACACAGGTTGCCCTACCAAAAATCCGACTCTGGTTCCGGTCCTGGGCGTCGAGGCTTGTCGGGGGCTTGAGCAGAGGACCAGTAGGCAGCTAGTTTGGACTCAACATCGTCGTCTAGCTTGGTGAAGGCATGGGTGTTGACAAGGTGCCCACTCTGGGAGAAGGACACGGTGTGGCCCTGTCGATTCCCCTTGCTGGGGGACATCATCCTTCTGACGTCGCCTGGGTGCTGGTCATTCTTGGCTGCCTGTGGAGCAGAGTGGCTGGGAGAGGGTGTAGGTTTGGCTGGGGTTGCCTTACCTACAGTACTAGTGTTGTTGGCCTCCATGGTTGATACCGATGCGGTGTCCCCGACTGCTGGGTCGGCTTCACTCTCATGTTCAACCATGTCAGTAACATTTGCCTGACGTTTGGCCGCCTGTGGGGACGGGGATGACATCAGGACTTTCTTGTCAGCATCATCAAATTGGTGCCAGATTCGGCGGGCAGGGAAGGACAGCTGGCTCCAATGACTGTCTGGAAGCCTGGCTAATGGGTCCCTTTCCACGGCAAAGGCCTGCAATGAATGGTGCTCCTCATCTTCCTCTTCGTCACCTCCAACATCAGTCATGTGGGCCCTTCTTGTGTTGGGTGTCACTTTGTTGTTGATGTCAAGAGGGTGGCAGATTCTTCAGTGTCTCCATATACTCTTCGTTAGGTACCGTTCCTGTACTCCTTTGCGGGTGATTCGCTCATGCTCACGGGCTCGAATGTCATTCAGGACTCTGATAGATGTAAATGCATTCTGGAGGAATAGCTTCTGCATACTGTCGCTGAGCTTGTCCTGGCCATCGCTTGAGCGTCGTTGTATTTGGTGACAGTTTCATCGAATTTGATGATGAACTCGACGGCGGATCCCTTGGAAGTGGCGTAGCGGGTGCTTGTGAGCCAGTTCAGGGTATCAACAGACTCCAGTGTACCAGCAACAGAGACGTGGGCATCGGCAATGAGCTTGACTATGATGTCATAGCAGTTGCAGTCATGAAAGTGGGACTTAACAATCACCTTTCCATTGCTAGTCTTCACAATCTTCTGTAGCACCGCAAAGAACCATGCATTCATCCTCTTGAGTTCGTCACAGGCAGCCTTGTTCTTGGGTGTGTACTCTGTGTCAAAGATTTTGAACATGTCTTGGGCTCTGGCTGTGGTTATGACAGCCTCATACCAGCTGTCAAAAGTCTTGTTGTTGTTGAGTGTGGGGTAGGCACCTGCATCTGGTTTTGCATGGAAGTATCTGCCTTTGGGGTCAGGATCATCTCCACCTCCGCCTCCATCCCTTCCAGGATCTGGAGGTCCACCGTTGCCATCAGGATCACCAGGATCGTCAGGTGGGCCTGGGTAGTTGTGTCTCCAATTGGGTGTGTTACCCTCATTCCCAATTCCAAAGTCACTGTGGTTGCTGCCATGGTATCCGGATCCTCCTGGATCACCAGGGTCGCCTGCCTTGCTGGGATTGGGCTTTTCAAGTCCATGGCCATGGAAGCCAGAGAAGAGTGAAGGTTTCTCCTTTGGCGAGGCCATGTCATTGCTGTTGACAGGATGGGGTGTGAAGATGGGGTTCCTCACTGGTGGTTCCTCGCCAGGCAGTGTTGTTAGCTGACCTGGTGTAGTGTAGGCAGTTGTGGGTGTGTAGCCTGTGGTGACAGGGGTGTGCACATGGCCATGAGGCATAGTGTAGTTGTAGGTCCTGTCATTGGGGCCAGGTAAGACCCATTCTCCATTTGGTAGGAGGAAGCATCCATCTGGGAACCTTCGGTTGATCCAATGTGCGGGATCATTTGGCACGTTGGCCGGTAGTTCTGCAGCATCAAGTGGTGTGGGGTACTGGATCCATACGCGCCTGTTGGCTGGGTTGAGTAGCCACCGTCCGGAGTAATGAGTACTGTTGCCTTTGGGCAGCATGGATGGAAACAGGATGTCCGGTTGCCTGCAAGGTTGTTGTGGGCCACGAAAGGCATGGTGGCGCCGAGGGAACTGGAACATCATGGGAGCACTAGTTGATGAGACAGGCTGGATAGGAGTGTATCGCAGAGGGAATGGTGCCTGGATACTGTACTGGTGGCTGTCATTGGACGGTGTGTTTGTTTGTTGGGTGTATTCCTCCCCCTTGAGAGCCTCCAATTGGGAAAGGATGCTATCTGAACCAATGGGCTCCTCAGTTCCACTCAACAGACTTTGTGGCACACCATCTGAAAGTGCATCGGTCCCCCTAGTCTTTATCTCAGGACTAGGCTTGGTGGATGGCTGAATCGAATCAGATAGTGCAGGCACCTGGCCATTGAGGGAAGATGGGGAATCAAAGTGGATGCCACCAATACCCATAGAGGAAAGCTGCTTGTTGGTCTGGTCAATGAAGGTGGTGACCAAGCCTTGGATAGAGGCATTGGACTGATTAAGGCCCTCCTGTTGTTGGGAGAGCTGGTCCAAGTAGGTAGAAAGCTGCCGAGAGAGTGTGTTCTCAAAAGTGGCTTGTCTGTTGATTGCCTCCTTGGCAGCTTGTTCTGATCTGTTCATTGCCTCCTTGGCAGCTTTGTCTGATGTGGCCTGTAGTTCCATTGTAAGCTGCTCAATGTGTTGGCTAAGCATTGTAGTGTCATGGTTGGCTAGGTTGGAAGAAGCCACACTGGAGTGGGCACCGTGATGTGGTGTCAACGCATAAACAGAGGGGGGTCCACAGGTGTGTTGGCAGAGGGAGCTGGAGCTGGAGCTGGTGCTGTTGTCTCTGCAGTGGTGGACCTGTTGTTGTTGTTCTGTGTGTTGCTGTCATTGGATGCTGGTGTTGATGACGTGGTGTCATTGGCACCGGGCTCCTGCTGTTGCTTCTTCTTCTTCTTGTTGCTGCTTCCCATGATGACTGGTGCACTGGCTGTTAACAGCGTTGTAGTGGAGTTGCTGTAGAAAATCCAAAATGAGACTTGGGGGCTTGCACTGTTGGTAGATGACCAAACAGAGGTTGCTGTACACACTGGTAACCTTGGATTGGCTTGAAACGGACTGGAAGGTGTCCTCGAGGCTCTCCGAGTCAGTCAAGTCGTCAACTCGTAACAGTGGATCGATCCGTACGGAGCCACGTATCTTCTGAAGAGTTCAGAATTCCGAGGAAAATGTGAGGTGACCTATTCGCGCGAAGTGTCGGCTTGCTTTTGGAACAGAGGTACGGTGAAGTACGTCACTCGGAAGAGGTGCGGTACCGGTTCTGTGAGTGCCGTGTGAGTACCGGTTCGTTTGCCAGTATCCTTCAATGAAGCACGACTGGGTATTTCGGTACGAAAAATTGCGATCGACAATGGTGGTCGCTTATTCCGCTATCGGCCGCTTGAATGGGGCTGATTAACAAGCTGTAACCAAGTCTATCGTGTAGAGCACCTTCTGGTTAGTAGGTGGGCCACTGGATAGCTTGTTAATCGGCTTCGATTCCAGTTTTCGGTTTGATCGGCGTTTTTGTGTCGCGATTTCCTTGTTCTGTCGAACTCCTCTTCTTCTGTTGAACTCCACTCTTGTTCACTGGCTTCGTAGCCACTCTTGTGTCGCTATTGCGAACTTGTTAATCCTATGAGCTTTTCTTCCAGAAGGCTCAGTGTAGATACACAAGAGCTGGGAGGAGAGCTCTGTTTGATGGAGACCTCCTTCCACTGGTGATATGCCAATCAACCAGCACTACTTGCAATGGTTGATGGGGCGCTGGCTACCCTGGCACAAGCCATGCAGGAACTTCTCTACTGCAGGACTAGGTTGTACTCTCTGGGTTCACAGGTTACTATTCATTTACTTTGTTCTTCTTACTATGCAAGCTAGATAGATCAACTCAACACAACACTTCCTCGAGAGTAATCCAATGACAGGACAGTTGCTTTTGGAGAGGTAATCCTCTATACGGATCCCTTCTAGAGAAGGTTTGTTGATGCCTATCATACCCAGGGTATACAGGCTGTATGTCATGCATACACATGGTACCTAGGCTTGCCTCAGCAATACATACAGTGCTGGATGATAGCATTGCTGGCTGTACTCTTTGACGGTACACGGGTTTCAGCAATGATGTCATACAGCTAAGTCTGCACAGCTATGGCGCACCCAGTGGCGCTTTCATGGATCCCCTTTTGGATCTTATCGATACCCTTCAAGGGGGGGTAGGGGATTCAATTCCTCAGGAAGAAGCCATCTAGACAGAGGCAACAGCTACAGGAACCAGAACAAGAGTTCTAAGTGCCAATTCCTGTTCCATCCCAATGGACAGGCAGACAACAGGTACTATCCTTTTGAAGAGACTTTGACCCACATTGTCCAGAACCTAAGGATCAAGCCTGAATGGAATGATGTGCCACTGGCTTCATTGGCCATTGAAACCATAACAAGTCAGGCACCAACCAAGCCGAACAAGCCGACACTCAAGGCAACACTTGCTGATCCCAAAGTCTTTGAGTACGATGCTTTGGAACTCAGCGAGTTCAAGTCAGAAGCATCCATCTATGACAAGTCGACTCGCTACTATGAGAACATTCTCAAGACTGGTGCAACTACCATTCAGATGACATACTGTACCGAGTCAATGAAATCCAAATTGAGAGGTCTAGGTGACTATGAGGCCGCAGTCAAGCTCGACCCTATCGTCATGCTCAAGAGGATCTGTGTGATCCTGATGCAAGGCTCGACAAAAGAGTTCCCATTGCTTCACCGGGTCAAAACCGATGAGATTATGCCATAGGAGCCATATGGGTGCGGCGCAGCTGTGCTGGCTCAGTCTGATGGAAAGATCGCTGTTGCATCTGTACAGTCTTTCAGTACAATGAGCTGTGTCACCATCAGACAAGATAGGAACAGCTGTAGAGGACATAGAGTTCCTCTGCAAGGAAGGATGATGCAGTTCCTCAGCCATGACCTATCTAGAAAGATAGCTTGGTCAATACCAGCCAAAAGAGATGCATGGATCTGTATCCTGCATGGCTGGATGGAGTTTCACGCAAAAATCAGAGTTTGTGTTCATGTTATAGTTTAAAGAAGTAATGAAGAAGTAGTTGACCTGAGAAACAGACCCAACAGCACAAGTAGAGCTCTGCAGTAGACTGGATCCTGTATGGCCAGTGCCAGGGTATTGAGCAATTAGACTGTTCAATCATTGCTTCCACAGTGATTGAATAGCATTGGCTGCCAGCCTTGGGCTGGCCTTTCCAGCGCCAGTGGAAGGAGATCTCCACCAAACAGGGCTCTCCATCCCAGCTCTTGTGCACCTACCGCTGAGTTCCTACCTGGAATTCATAGGATTAACTAGTCGCAAGACAAGCACAAGAGCGGCTAACAGTGTGAAATCGCCGTGAAAGAAGAAGAAGAGCGAGCGAGTTGCCGAATCGGCCGATTGAGACCTGACGACAGATCGACGACCGAAAACTGGAATCGCGACCGATTCAAGTGGAACCAAGTGGCTCACCTATCAACCAAAGAATCCTCTACAAGCAACAACGGCTACCTTCCTACCAACCGGCCTACCTTTCGAGATCGGCGAGTGGAAAGCATCAGCTGATCCACCAACACGAAGAAAATCGCGACAGAATCTGCCGATCGACCTAACTCGACCAATATCGGAGCGGTAGGGGCGAAACCAAGTGTTCTACCTACCAACCAGACGGTGCTTGAGAGGATCGTCCAGCCAGTTCTTTGTTAATCGGCTTGGTTATGGCTGCCGATTGAGTACAAGCAGCGGCAGATCCCAATTGTCGATCCTTTCTTTTCCTACAGAATTTCCCAGTCGTGCCTGCGGAGGAGGATACTGCGGTGAATGGAACCGGTACTCACACGGTACTCACAGAACCGGTACCGTACCTCCGTTCCGAAAGCAGGCCGAGCCGAAGATCCGAGTCGCCTCACATTTCGATCGATTCCGTGAACTCCTTGGATCCGTATACTGTTCCGAGTACACTACAGGAGTAACTCGCAACACCACGAGACCACCTTTCGAAGTGTTTGGAAGGGTTCCAAGGTTACCAGTGTGTCAAGCAGCCTCCAATTCATCATCCACCAACAGTGCAAGGCTTCAAGTCACCTTTTGGATTTTCTACAGCAACACCCCTACACTCCCACACTGTTACAGCCGGCGCACCAACAATTATCATCATGGCTCGCAAGAAGAAGCAACAACAACAGGCCCAGTCTGCCATTGGTGTTACACCACCAGCATCCTGCAATAGCATTGACAGCACCAACTGGTCCAGCACTGCAGGAACCCCACAACCAGTCCCAGTTCCATCCCGCAGCCGACCATACAAGGCCTCCAGTTGTGACTCCTTCTCCACCAGCCAACCATGGTGTTACCCTTTCAATGATCAGCCACCAACTGGCAATGGCATTGAAGAAAATGAACCAAATGAACCAAGCTCCCTTCTTGGCCTCACCACAAGGCCACAATACCAATCAGCTTGGTTCCTTCCATCCACATGACTCCATTCCCTGCACACCTGGTTTATCACACAAGCCTAGCCCTGAGATCAAGGCTAGGAGGACCGATTCAGAACCAAGCAGTTTGGAACAGAGTTTGTTGGGTGATGTTGAGGACCCTCTTGGTCATCCATCCCAACCCAAGGTTGCCATGGATGTTGCCCCTTCCCCTGCTGGAGGTGGATACCATCACCAGGTGTGGGCCCTCAATGGGGAGGTATATCCCCAACCAACACCAATACCATCATATTGTGGCATCCCACCAACACCCTATTCAGTGAGATACCCAACTACACAACCGGTGTCTTCAGTCCCTACACCAATTCAACCTGTGTCTTCAGCAGCCTATCAGCCCATACCTATTAGGCCCACATCATTCCAGACACCAGTACACTCAGACCTTCCTCCAGTCAGCCAACCTACTGATCAACCGGAGAAGCCAAGAAGGAAGTCAGCCTTCATTCCCACCCCTGATAGCAATGGTGGTCTTCCAAGTCCCAGAGGCGATGGAGGAGGTGGCAACACAGTAGGCCCTCCAGGCAAGTCCTTTCATGCCAAGCCGGATGCCACGGCCTACCCTACCCTCAAATCCAACAAGGACTTCGACCAGTGGTATGAGTCCTTTATCACTATGGCTAGAGGTCAAGGGTTTCATAAGATCTTTGATGCCGACTACGTCCCAAGCAGCACCGAGTCCATGGATGAACTCATACGAATGAATCATTGGTTCTACGCTGTTTTCCAGAAGACAGTGCAGACCACCAATGGAAAGGTGATCGTGAAGTCCCACTTTCATGACTCTGACTGCTTTGCCATTCTCGTTGAGCTTGTCCAGGACGCTCACTTGTCAGTAGCAGGTTCTCTGGATCATGTGGAGACACTCACATGGCTGACTAGTGTGCAATACAGCCCAGAGGAGCAAGGTTCCGCAGTGGACTTCATTGTCAAGTTTGACACAGTTGTTACCCGATACAATGATGGCCAAGGAGACTCCAGTGATAGGCTCACCGATGGTATACAGAAGCTGTTCTTACAGCGGGCCTTCACCGGTGTCCCCACCTTGAACGACATTTCTGCACGTGAACATGAGAGAGTATGACGCGAGGGACATCATGCATCGTTTACAT